AATATAATTACAATATGGTATACTATACACTGTACGTAAATAACCAGTTTTTTCCCTGTGATTTTAGGGAATGAAATAGTTAAGTTATATAAGTTGATGAGCTCCTGATAACTCATCACTCCAGTTCGGCACACGTATAAATGGGGTATTGACAGCACGATGACTTAAGTGGTAGTGGGTGCTCAACCAACAATTTGAATTGCTTTGGGATGTCCTTACACAGGATATATATCGCAAAATACTGTATAATCCTGCATTTGATGTAGCGTGTCATCATGACATCTCAAAGCCCTTCACTGGATTTTATTGTAAAGGGTAGTGAATGTGATTTTTGGAGGCCACCCCAGCAGCCAATTTGGACACAGCAATGTCCTATAAACAGACCATTTTATCAATTACAAATGACCAATGGCCAGGACACCAGGAGAAATTCCCTTCTCTTTTTGAATAGCGTCCCAGTATCTTTAATGGCCACCTGAACAAGCAAACGGGACCTCGATTTAACGTCGCATCTGAAGGGCTGCACCTCTGACAATGCAACGCTCCCCCACACCCCACTCCGCGCTGGAGTGTCAGCGTAGCCTGAGCTGAAAATTTTCCGACGTGGGGTTTGACACCCACAGCCTTCTGACTCGAAAGGTGAGAGCAATACCAACTGAGCCGGTCTAGCACCCGGAAAGAATATTACCATCAAGGCTAATACCTTGGAAAGCATTCACAAACCTGCAAAACATAGAAAATGTTCGATAGCTTATCGACAGTGCATAAAGCCTATACAATTTACATAGCGCCTTTCAAAGCACTGCATAAAGAGCTCTGTAAAGAGCTGCAATTCTGCAGGGTGGAGGGGAAGTCGAATACCAAATTGACACCAGAAAGGAAACAATCCTCAAACCTCAGGATATTCGAATCTCCCTCCATCTTCAGATTCACTGAAGCCAACTTATCAAAATGTTGAAACCTGCTTTGTTCAGTCACTACCTCGTTTATTTCCTACTGTACATTTTAATGGATTAAAAAGGTTAGACAGAGCAAGGCAGTTGTGCAAAACAATAATTTACATTTTTCACTGTTTGGGGGTAAAAGAATAATCTAAACAACTTTTTTAAAAAAAATCCACTTTATACAAAGACTTGCCGAACAAACAGGCAAGCACATTGATGGCACTTGAAGCTCACTCTAAAGGGGGGGTGGGGGGTTTAAAGGCAAGTTCGCTCGTAAAGCACACCGTCACAACAACAACTTGCATTTATATAGCGCCCTTCACGAGGGGTAGCGTCTCGGATTGATACAATTTTCAATGTACATTACGAATCACTTTGAGACATCCTTCCAACGTGAAAAACCCCTGCAACAAAAGGATTATTTATTATTAATGAAGGAGTGTTGTGAGGAGACCACACTCACACCGACGTACCCACTAAACAGATTCCACCTCAAGGTTTGGTTTGAAAACTTGGCAGCGTGCACAGAACAAATAGATCTGCTCAGATGAAAGTCTTTAAATAATCATCTCAGGTACACACACACCTGTGCATACCTCGCTCACCACTTTACTGAAAATACCCACAAACTGTGCCACAAGGTTTGATTCAACACAGTTCTGGGACTGGGTGAGTTTTTCTTCCAACCCCCGTTTCATTGCCACCTCCCACCTTCCCCCACCCCCAAACACTGAATTGGAAATCCTGCACAAAACCACATGGTTTCTACTGCTAATTAGGCTCATTGGAGGATCTGACTTGGACATTGTTTAGAATTAAACCCTGTTAACATGCGCTTCTGTGGCTACCAGTTACTGTGTCAGCATACCCAACCACCCCCCAACACCACACCCAACAAAGGAGTTTCAAGAATATATTAAATCAGGCTTTGAGTTAATGATAAATAATAAACATAAATATATATTACAAGTGTCAGCCTTTCACCCCAGGAGTGTTTCACAGGATTTACTGTCAAGTGTAGTGACTGTGATGTGACTTTGTAGGCAAATAAGGCAACCAATTTAATACACAGCAACGTCCTGCAAACAAAAATGGAGTGACTTTTTAGTAATATATGGGGGTTTGTTGGCAGGATGCTGGTAATCTAGGTAAAAATAGGTGTGGATCTAAACCTGGGTCTAAACTTGCACCATTCTTCACCGTGTGTAGAATACAGTGCATTCTTAAATTCAGTCATAATTGTAAAGCCAATTTTCTATAGGTTCTTTCATGTCAGGACTTGGAACTCGTACAGTCCAGGCTGAGGCACCAGTGCAGAGCTGAGAGCGCACTACATAATAATATAATAATAATAATAATCCTTGCATTTGATATAGCGCTTTTCACGTCGGGAGGACGTCCCAAAGCGCTTCACAGAACACACTGTAAAGTGAATTGACTGTATATTTGTGGGCGAACGCGGCAGCCAATTGCGCACAGCAATGTCCCACAAACAGTCGTAGATTGAAAATGACCAATTTATTATTGTTTTTTTTTTAGTTTTGGAGGGATTATTATTAGGCTCTGTGTGGAGTAAGGAAACTTGCCCAAGGTTTCGCCCTCTGCCTGGAATTGAACTCAGGTCTCTCACTTGCAAAGCGAGTGCTCTAACCACTGAGCTACAGGACTCCACATTGTTGGAAGTGTTGTCATTCAGATGAGATGTTAAACCAAGGTCCCAATCTGTCTCTTCAGATGATGATAAAGAGAAGGGAGATTCTCCCAATATCCTGACCAATCCCTCCCCCCACCTCCATTAAAAAACATTCACTTCACAACAGCTTGTTGTGATGTTGCTGTGTGCAAATTGGCTGCTGTCTTCAGGCACAAAATCCAGTCACTCCACTTTACAGTAAAAACCCCTTGCAGCGTTTTGAAATGTCATCATGTCATCAAAAACACTGCATCAAAACGCAAGGATAATTACTATGCAATAATAGTCCTTATATTTGATTTGGCACCTTATCCCATCTTTGGGGGTCTCAAAGCACTTCGTAGAATATACTGTAAAGCGAATGGACTATTTTGTGGGTGAAACACAGCAGCCAATTGCGCACAGCAGTGTCTCAGTCATTTATAATGATAGTAATCCTTGCATTTGATGTAGTGCTTTTCACGTATTCTAGATGTCTCAAACCACTTCACAGAATATACTGTAAAATTAATTGACTGTATATTTTGTGGGTGAAGCATGGTAGCCAATTGCGCACAGTAGCATCCCACAAACAGTCGTGGATTGTAATGACCAATTTATTATTGTTTCTTTTTCTTGAGGGATTATTATCAGGTGTGTGGAGTAAGGAAATTTGCCCAAGGTTTCACCCTGCCAGGAATCGAACCCAGATCTCTCGCTTGCAAAGCGAGTGCTCTAACCACTGAGCTACAGGACTCCACATATATATAATATATAAACTCCACATTTATATTATATAACATATTGTACAAAAAGGGTAAGAGCAGTCAGTCTCTGGCTTACATTTCCAAAATGAAGAGATCGACAGTGAACACGCAAAGGTGCTACATCGCAATAATCAATGCGTTTTATTCATTTTACTACACAAATGTTCAATACTGTGTAAAGGTGTAAATAAAAATACAGCATATTACAGACAAGAGATCACCCACTCATCAAAAGACCAATAAATCCCAGGCATTTACTCAAGTCAACACAACCGAGTTGAGATACACAACAAAAAATAAAAAAACACCGAGGAGAAACGAGAAAGACATGATTGCTAACAAAAAAATTAATTAATGTACCCTGAGAATGAGTTTGTAGCTTTACCACTTGTAAATAAAATTTATATTTGCAGAATGTCTTTGGTAAACAGATGAGTCTCAGGACAGACAATGAAGTCAAATACTTCTCATCATAATTGTTCTTAGCAATTTCAGATGGGGAGGGGAGAAGGAATTGGGAAACAGGGAGGATTAACAGGACGGAGGGAGAAAATTATACAAACTACTACTTTAAGGCCACCTAAACAAGCTTGCATCGCTGTTGCTAACACTGTTCACAGGTTGTAGTTTACTTCTTTCAAAAATAGTGTGCGTACGTGTGTGTGTGTGTGTGTGTGTATGAGAGAGAGACAGAGAGAGAGAGAGAGAGAGAGAAGCGATCAAGCAAATCGGAGTAGAACAAAACAAAAGCAAAAAAAAATGCATTTAACATCACATCTCAAAGCGCTTCACAGAATATACTGTAAAATCAACAGACTGTATATTTTGTGGGTGAAACATGGCAGCTAATTGTGCACAGCAGCGTCCCACAAACAGCCGTGGATTCAGGGACCAAATTATTTTTGGGGAGGGATTATTACCCCCGGAAAGCAATCCCCTAATTGACTAACAACCAGGTTCCTACTTCCTGCTAACTAAACAGAGGCATGTGGTGTAAGAAAACTTGCCTAAGGTTTCACCCCGCCCGGGAATCAAACCCAGGTCCTCTCGCTTGCGAGGCGAGCGCTCTGACCAATACACTATAGGACTCCAAATAAAACAAAAATAAACCCTAAAACATTTAGACAGTTGCTGCATCGGCAAATGCTTTTCAGATTCCCCACTCCAAGTCCTTCTTTAATCGAGAAATACGGACACCATGTAAAGCAGATGACAAATATACATGTCATGTACAGTAAGACTATGTGCCACTTTTGTTGGTTTGAAGGGTGGGATGGGGGGGGGGGGGGGGGAAATGCGGAGGTTGCATTGCAACAAACATAAAATGGAGAGGAATGGGGAAAAAAAAATGAGGTAATAAAAGTTGAACACTATTAGGTTTTATTAGGGCATCATCAACAACATCAAAAAACCTCACGCTTCGCTCTGCGAGCAACTGTACAGCAATGAGACTTTTTGGTGTTTTAAGTTTCTTTTGTACAGACAACAGAAATAATATATTAAAAAAAATCAGTGCATAGAGAGCGTTGAGTTTTTGTTGACTTTTTTATATAACACACATTTCTGGCAAATGAAGAGACTTTTTTAAAATATATATATATATGTATGATTAACCCTAATACATATATAATAATATATATATTAAAAAAAGCATGAAATAAAATACAGGATCTTCAACGGATAGCTGAGTCAGTCATGATTTTGCACACGGGTAGTTGCTTGTTCTGCACAGACTTTCAAAAGAATTCACCTAACTTTGCATTTATGTACAGTGGACAGACTGGTCTCACTCACACACTCTCTCTCTCCCCTTCAACCCTCCCCCCACCCCACAAAAAAAAGTTAAAAAAAAAGGCTAAATTATACACCGTGATGTGTAACTCTGATACATATATGTTGCACTTTCACCATGCTTATAATAACCCACATTACTGCAGCGGAGATTGGGAAATCTCTTCACTATCTTACCACAAGACATGATACGCACAGCTTAGACGGTCCTATACAATCGTCGTGACAAAATGCCCCACAGCCTTTGCACATGATCATGGCTTTTAGCCGGCAGGAACATTTCAGAGTCATCTCCTCCACGCTGGTGTTGCCGGCAAAAGTCTGGCCAGACAGCGCAGAGTTGTGGCTGGCAAAGTTCGCCTTCTGGCTGAGGGACATCATGCTCCCGGCGATGGAAGCTGGGAAGCTCCCGGCGGAGAGCTCCGATACCGAGGCGCTGGCGATGTGGCTGAACCCGGTGGAGCTGAAGGAAAGCTTCGGGAGCTTCCCGTACAACTGCTGCTGAACGCTGAACGGCGAAGGGGTCGGGGAGCAATCCGCCGAGCGCTGGAACTGCAGCCCGCTCTCACGGATCGCCTTCCCGATGGCGCTATCCACCTGCACCGAGCTCACCAGCCGCAGCTTGTCTTTGGGATCCAGCGGGAAGTGGGTCCCCCCCTTCAGGCTGACAATGTCCTGGCTCTTGCTCATCCCTCGGCAGGCGGGAAGGCCTTCGGTTTTGATGACTTTAAAGCCCTCTCTCAGCCTGGGGAGCCAGTCCCTCCGGAGGGCGAGAGCGGGCAGACAATCCGTGCCCACCAATCCCACCAGCTTCTCCGGGTGCTCGGCCCCCGGGCCCTTGGACTGAACCTTGATGACTTCCGTCACCCTGAAGCCCCCGTCCTTGTGTGCCGCAAGGTGGGGGTAACCGCGGGCCTTTGCGATCACGGAGCCGAAGATGGCGTTCCGTGTCCCGTCCAGGCGCCCGCTGGGGACATAGTAGCCGGTCACAGCTCCGATCTGCTTCAGTGTCTCGGGGCCGCTTCTCTGTGAGCCGGGCCCCCGAGTGTTCAAGGGCCCCTTTAAGCCCGTCTCCTTACCCCCATTTTCGAAGCCGCAGACGGCCTGCGGCCCCCGTACGCCACTCTCCTCCACCGCCCCCGAGAGAATCAGTGCCCGGTTCAACTGCTCCTGGGAGATGAAGCCTTCGCCATGGCTCCTGCTTTCCCGCTCCAGGACCACCCGAGTCTGCATGAGGGGCTTTCTGGGCAACGTGGCTGCCCACTGCCTGATCAGCTCCGGGCGTTTCTGAACTATGATGTCCCGGGATTCCCTGGCCGGTGCTTTGTGTGGATGAAGTTCGGTCGATTCATCACCGCCCCTGGGGTCTGTTTGGCCGGGACTGGGCTCAGGCCGGAGCGGGGGGCTCTCGGGTGGGGGTCCCGCCAGCCGGGTGATCTCCAGCTTGGTGCTGGAGTTCGACAAAGGCAGCACTTTCTCCAGGGGGAGGCTGCCCTGCAGGAGCTGCGTGACCAGTGGGTTGTTGGCCTCCACCGACGAGAGGGGGCGGCTCGAGCCCAAGCCCCCCAGCCCTGGCCTCCTGTGGCCGTCAGCGCCGGGCAGCAATGGGGCTTCTGCCGGGTACGGCTGCGGTGTTGTTGTTGATGTCGGATCTGGGGCTCGCTCCCGTGGACCCTCCTGGGACAGCCGTGGGAATCCCGGGCAGGATTCCGCACTGTCGCTGACATAAGGGCAATCGGGACCCCGTGCGTGGTCCATCGCACCTTCTCCAAGATCGTGCCGGGGGAAGCTGCCGGTGAGAAGCTGACTCCTCATTGCGTGGCTCTGGTCGGTGTCCGATCCCCCGCTTCGTTGCAGGACTCTGCTGGCCAAGCGCTCGCGGGGGCCGAGCTCCGGGAGGGAAACCGAGGGCTCGGTTTGCGGTCGGACCCCCTCCTCCTCTGCTTGCCGCTGCTCGGTGTCCCGTTCCTTCACAGCCCCCTCCCCCGGTGCAGGAAGCTTTCCCTTTGCTGGGGGGGAAGCGGATACAATCACTGACGTGCCTGCTCGTTGCTCCACTAAAGAGGGTCCGCTCGAGCTCTCTCCCAGCGTTCCAGCTTCCAACCGATCACATTCCTCCAGCTCCGAGCAGCAGCGGCTTCCCTCGGCCACGGTCTCAACCGGCTCGGGCGGTGATGGCGCCACCATGCCCGGCCCCGGAATCCCACCCTCGGCTTCCGGAGACTCGATCGGAGGAGCTGACGGTAAGGACGGGCGATCCGTGGAGCTGGGGGCGTCGGTCTCACAGCCGGAGCTCGGTGACGACCCTGGTGTCGCGGTCGCTGTTGTTATGGTGACGGCGATGCTGGGCTCCGTGGCTTGGCACGGAGTCTCCTCAGTCTCCGGGAGGAAGCCATCGCCACTCAGGTCGACAGAATCAGGCGTCTGGACACGGAGGTCGGTTTGGGAGAGAGACAGGACGAGAGTCTGGCGGCCGGAGTTTCCGTCCTCCTCCTCCTCTTCCTCCTCGACAACGGTGTTGGTCGGGGAAACGACTAATGGGACATCGCATTCGGGTCCCGGCGGCCGGTCATCATCGTTGTCGGCCGCTAACACACTGTACCGAGCCGGATCGCGATCCTCGGCTACAACACTTTGCTTACGATCAGCGCTGCGGCCAATCCCGGGCTCCTCTGTGCTGCCCGAGGCACCGGCTTGGCGTAGCTGTGCTCCAGGCTGATGTTGTGCCACACTCGGTTCAGGAGCCGTTGTTCTTCCGTCGGGATGGGCAATGGCACCTCCCCCATCACCACCAGCACCTTCTCCCTCCCCCTCCAGCCCTCCCCCGCTGGCGGCCGCAGCAGACGCAGCTTCCCGCTGGGCTCGGGCTTGCTGGGCTCGGGCCTTGATGTCGGCCAGTGTCCTGGCCCCCGTCCTCTCCCGGCTGCCTCCTCCCCCACCGCCTGGTCCTGCCCCGGCCGGGCTGACGATCCTTGGCCGGATCTGGTACGCTGGCTGACCCTTGACGACCCACGGAGGCTTGATTCTTGAGAGCTGGATCTGCCAATGAGAAACCGGACACGTCACCGAAATGGCCTCCATCTCCGCCTCCCCCTCCACCGAATACCCAGGACGGACTGGGACCCAGAACAGATTGGGGAGCGTGCTCCACCACCCCCGCACAAAATAAGGAAACTTCCCTTAGGGTAATCCAACTGGTGACCAATTTCATCCGGCACCATCAGCCCCCCGTCCCCCATTTCATCCGGCCCACCCGCTCCCTCCATAAACCATAAATGTTATAAAAAAATAAACGTTTCTGGAAGGGAAACACAAAAATATTGCTTATGCGTCTCGGCAGCCAGAAGGTTGGACCGGGGATTGTGAAATTGTGGAATGCAAAACCATACAGATGGAATTAATCGGGAGGGGAGATGTTTACAACAACAATAACAAGATTATATTTGTATAGCGCCTTTCACGTCGGGAGGACGTCCCAAGGCGCTGGACAGTGTACAGCATTTCAGACCCGAGATAGGGTCAGGGGGGGAAAGGGGAGGGGAGAGGGGACATTGTTTTTCACCTTGCATACGGTGTATCTTTTTTTGGTGTAAACTCCCCCCACTCCCCTGAGCTTGGTTTGCAGTCTTATATTTTTATATATTTTCACTAGCGAGCTTCGGAGAAAAATGAGGAATGGATGCAGCGATAGGAGTTTGGAAGGAGAGAAAAAGAGAGTGAATGAGAGAGTGAGGGAAAGAGCAAGAGAAGAGAAAGAGAGAGGGGACAAACAAAGAGGATAGAGGAAGAGAAAGAAGAAAGTGAGGGAGGGAGTGAGGGAGTGAGGGAGGGGAACACCCCTCCTCACACTATGCTCCAAACCAGAAGAATGAGCCACTTTGACCAGTCCTTGAGCAACAGCAGAACAAACGGAATCTTCCCGCATGTGGGTTCGACAATTAAGAGGCTATTAATAATAACATTAATAATATTAATAACAATACCAACAACAATAATATTAATAATAAGTATTAATAATGTCAATAACAACAAAGCCCATTACCCTAATAGGTGGCACCTTTGGCTCCTCTCTCGTTGGTTGTTCCCTTTCTGTCCGAAAGCTATCAATTGGGGTCCGAAAGGACTGATGCTCGTCCAGCCTGGGCTTCTTTTCGGGGCCGGAGGTGGAGGCACTGGGCTCCGCCGACTTCCTCTTCTGCTCCTTGGCTTCCGCGCAGCTGTGCTCTGGCTCGCTCTTCCAGGCGGCAGCCCTGGCGCTCAGGCAGGTGGTCTGGTCCCTGGGGAGGCTGGCCGGTTGTCCGGTACTCCGCTCCACCCTCTCGCCGCTCCGCTCTGGCTCCCCGTCAATCCGTTCCGGCTCCGGCTGCAGGCTGACCGGCTTCAGGCTGACCGGCTCCGGCTGCAGGCTGACCGGCTCCGGCTGCAGGCTGACCGGCTTCAGGCTGACTGGCTGCAGGCTGACCGGCTGCAGGCTGACCGGCTGCAGGCTGACCGGCTCCGGCTGCGGGCTGACCGGCTCCGGGCTGACCGGCTCCGGCTGCCGGCTGACCGGCTCCGGCTGCCGGCTGACCGGCTCCGGCTGCGGGCTGACCGGCCGCGGGCTGACCGGCTCTGGGTCTCGCTCGGGCCTCTCCTGGGACACCACGGGTTTCTCCGGGGCTGGTTTGGGGTCGGGGTCGGACTTGCTTGGGATCGCTTCCTCCCTGTTCCTCTCAGGGCAAGGCTCGCTCTTGTTAACCCTCGCAGCGCCAGGCGGCTCGATCACCTGGACCTCCTGTGAGCATTTCTCGCGTCCCCTTGAGTCCCGAGACGGCAACGAAACATCAGCCGACTCGTTGGGCTCAGGTTTGGGCTGGGGCTCGGGCTGGGGCTCAGGGCTCAGCTCCGTCTCCTTAAGGACGGCACGCTTCACCCGGCATTTCAGCTCTGCCTTTGCGCTTCTCGTGCATTTCCTCAGGCTCTCCTCGGGCCTGTGCTGGGGGCTGGGCTGTTTGGACGGTCCTGCCTTGTGCGGAGGCTGGGAATTGGCTGCGTTCCCCACGCCCGCTCGGCAGTCAGTTTGTTGCTCCAAGTCTTGTTTGGACAACCCCAGCCTGTCAACAAGCACCCAAACAAAACAACAATCAGAACAAGTCTCCTCAAGCGTTTTACAGGTCATTCATTACCTGAAGTCCCTCATCTAATTTTTTTTCTCTCTCTCTCTGTCTCTCCCCACCAACCCCCACCCAGCCTTTTGGCACCCTTCCCCCTTCTGGGAGTTAGAAACAATGACACTTACAGCGCAGAAGGCCACTTGGCCCATCAGCTCACAAAGCAACAACAAATTATACTGTATAGCGCCTTTCACATCGTTGAGAGGAGACTGCTCCAAGCCCACTGCTTGCTTTATCCCCAAACTCCTTCGAGCCCCTCCCTTCATAAATTATCTGTTCCCTCCCTCCACACCCACCCCCCAACTTCATATTAGGCATTCCTCTACCTTTCTTCTCCTTCCCCCCACCCACCACGATTTTCACGTAAGAGCCAAACAAATCCCTGTGGAAAATTTCTAAGAATCCACTCTCACACTGGAAGTTACTTTCCTTTCAAGAAAACAACATTCCAAATTAAAGAGCGGCTTCGGGATATTTTCCTGCAAATAATTATGCTCCATCTTTCAACTTGAAGGCAAACGGGGGCTAAGTCTATCAAGGCAGGGCCCTCAGATTGGGAGAAAAACCCAAGGCTTACCGCTGTCCATAATAATCCTCGAAGAATTTCTCCTTCCACTGTTCCACCTTTTTCTCTTTCTCCATTTCCTGACGGAGTCGGAGCTGCATTTCGGGTGTAAATTCGCCTGCACGAATAATAGTAATAATAATTATCCTTGCATTTGATATAGTGCCTGATTGAAACGTCTCAAAGCGCTTCAAAGGATATATTGTAAAGTGGATTGACTGGGTATTTTGTGGGCAAAACACGACAGTTAATTGCAACCAGCAGCGTCCCATAAACAGTCGTGGATTGAGTAACCAATTTGTTTTGTTGTTGAAGGATTACTACCCCCGGAAAGCTATCCGCCAAATCAACTGACAACCAGCTTCCTACTTAACGCTAAGTAAACAAAGAGAGCACGCCAATTCTTATAATTTTTTTTAAAAAAGAGATTACAAAATTCACACTTTGAAAACCACCCGTTTGCAAAAAAATACAGTTGCTGCATTACACTGCTGCAAAATGCTTCAAGGCTCTGCACAAATCTGGCTGCTACATTTGCCCACAAAGCAATCGCTGCATTTTAATAAATACTTGCATTTAATACAGCGCCTTATCATGCCGTTGAGACATCTCCAAGTGCTTCATAAAATATACTGTAAAGCAAATTGACTTGTGTATTTTGTGGACGAAATAGCCGATCAAGCTTTTACAGTGAATCCTGCACTTGTCAGATGTCAAATGAACCAATTAGTGACTATCTTCCAGGGGAGGAGGGGAGAAGGTAAGTGGGGTCTCCATGGAGCTGAACTAGTGCAAAGGTGACAATGAAATCGAGTCAACCCTGTGTGCTATAGTGGCTTTCGTGGTGGGAGGACGTTTCAAAGTGAGGATTTACTGTAATGGGTGGTGACTGTGCACCTTGTAGTCAAACACGGCACACTACCCTGCAAACGGCCATACAGTGATTCTATCTGGGGGGAATTGTAGGCCAGGATACGCACTGCTGAACTGGAGAAACCCTGAATAAAATCAAAGCTGCATTCAGAACAAAAATGGTAAAATGATGCAATAATCTAAAACCGTGGGATCTTTAACATCCTCCCGATGGCACCTCCGACAATGCTGAGCGCACAGCCCCATAGCATCAGTCTGGACTGAGTTCAAAGACCTGACGTAGGGGGCTTGAATCCACAACCTTTGGACTCAAGTTGCCACTGATTGTAGCAGTGTCAGAGAAGCTATTTTAATTAGAGAGAGAAAAAGAGTAAACGTGTGCATACGCCAGTCCAACCCACTGTGATACAGTGGCTTTTATGGTGAGAGGATGTTTCAAAGTGCTCGACAAGATTTACTGCAACAGGTTGTTGAATATGCATCTTGTGGCTAGACACGACAGCCAATAATGTGCACAGCAACGTGCCGCAAACAGCCGTGCAGCAATGGGACGCCATTTTAAGTAGGGTTGTACGTGGCAAGGTTAGCGAGGGATACTTACCCTCTGCTAATCGCTGCTTCCACCCTTGAGCCGCTGATGTGAAAAACTCGTTATTGAGGGCCGAGCTGCACAGTCGCATCGTGCCGTCATTCCCGACCTGAAACGAGAATTTTTGAAAAAAAGGAAAATTAAATACGTAATTACATTTGCATAGCACCTTCCATGTCGGGAGAACGTCAGGAATTTGGACACGACCGAGGGGTGGGGGTGGGGAGGATTAGGATCAGGGAAGGTGGAGGGCAGGGTGACCAAAGGCGCGGTCGAAGAGCAAGGTCTTGAGATGTGCCTTGAAGGAGGCAAGGGAGGGAGCGAAGAGAAGTGACTGTGGGATGGAGTTCCAAAGAGAGGGGGTGGAGAGGCTGAAGGCCCGACCGCTGATGGTGGGGCGGGACAGGCGTGGGATGTGGAGTAGGCCAGAGCCTGCTGAGCGGACAGTTTGATATAGGGTTACAGGTCACAGAGCCAGAAAGGGGCTCATTGCTCCTACTTCAGCACGTGAATTTACCTGCCTTTTCCTACACCTCTATTCCTCCCTCCCCCAGCGCCCCTGCAGTTTCCTACTTTTTTTTAAAAAAAATCTGTCTCGTTCCCTCTCGAAAGCCGACACGACATGGATCCTGTCTCAACCACCGCAAGGCCCATCCATGTTGAGACACCATATGGATACGAAACCAAACAGCAATGGTCATACAGTTCACATCACCCACCTGTGAGCAAAGTCAGCTCGTCTCATTGTCTGGGTGTATTCTAACCTATTGTTGCGGATTCACTTTTTCCAATTCCATTTAATATTTTAAACACCTTTGTGTGTTTCCCATCTGAGACGTTTCTTTCTCAAGCCTGAAGAGTCCTGGCTTTGTCTAATCTTTGCTCGTAGCTCATTGCTCAAAGGCGCTCTCACAGGTGGATCAGGCTCTAGGGAATGACTGGCCGAATCCTGTTCCAAAGTTCATAGTGTTACTGCTCTAACAATAAATAATTTAAAAAACAATAATAATAATTTGGTCACTCAATCCACGACTGTTTGTGGGACACTGCTGTCCACAATTGCTGCCGAGTTTTGCCCATAAAATGTCGTCAATTCACTTTACAGTATATTCTGTGAAGCACTTTAAGACGTCTCGAAGATGTGATAAAGCGCTATATTAAATGCAAGGATTATTATTATTGTTAACATTGGGGATCATCCTAGTTGCTCTCCACTGCACTGCCTCCAGGACGCTTGCCTAAACTGGATAGCTGGGTTTGGTAGGGAACTCTGAAAATGGCCCGGGTTCAGGAAGTCCTTTTAACGAGTGCTACACAGAGCGAAGGAAATTGTGAAAGCGGATAATGAGTCTACAAAGAGAGGCAGGAGGTCGACTCCAAGCAGCTCGAGGGAGAACAGAAACCTCTTCTGGAGACGAGGAGGGGAAATAAAAGCCTTTATTCATTGATGATTTCAGATCGAGCACAGCTCATACATCTGAAAGCTTCGAGTCCAGTTATTGCAGACAGCTCCACCCACTGGCCTGAGTCTCGCACACAAGCCTCGCACCCGTCAGGGTTTTTAAATCGCGTTCGCAGACAATTTACCGACGTTGATCATACTTGCGGGATGTTGCTGTGTGCTGATCGGCTGCCGCATTCTGCTACAGTTGCTGCATCCTTTACAGTAAGTCCTGTGAAGCGAGTCAAGTCGTCCTCCCGATGTGAAAGGTGCTGTGTCGAATGCAAGGATGATTATAATATACACTGTGTGGAGCAGCTAAAGGTCAGAGCTGGGCTTCTCAAGGTGACTGAATAATATTAATAATCCTTGCATTTGATACAGCGCCTTACCATTGTTGAGACGTTTCAAAGCGCTTCACAGAATATTTTGTAACGTGGACGGACTGTGTGTTTTGTGAGCGAAACACAGCTGCCAGTGTCCCATAAACAGTCGTGGATTGAGTGACCACATTTCTTTTTTTCCCCGAAAGATTATTACCTCCAGCAAGCAATCCGCCAATCAACTAACAACTGGGTTCCTTCTTACCACTAGAAAAACAGATCTACTGCTCTTGCCTTATTAAGCCAGTCCGGAACCTTGGCGTCTCGTTTGACCCTCAACTGTCCTTTCTATCCCACATACGTGTCATGAGCTGCTCTGCCTTTCCCCCACCTCTGTAACATTACCCGGCTCCACCACTGTCTCACATCGCAGGCCGCCACAACCCTCATACAAACATTCATAACATCCAGGCTCGATTACGCAAACTCCCTGCTTGTCAGCCTCCCTAACTCCTCCCTCCAGATCATCCAGAACTCTGCAGTCCGTGTCCTCTCCCGCACCAGGCTCCACAACCCTATCACCCCCATCCTCGCCTGACTCCACTGGATTCCCATCACACAGAGGGTACATCTTGCACAAGATCCTGGTCCTCACCTTCAAAGCCCTCCATGACCTTGCTCCCTCCGACCTCTGCGACCTTCTAACCCCCTACCAGCCTGCCTGCTCCCTCCGCTCAGCGGGCTCCGACCTGCTTCACGTCCCTCGCCTCACCTGCCCCACCATTGACGAGTGAGCCCTCTGCCACTCTGCCCCCACCATCTGGACCTCCATCCCACAGTCCCTGTCTCGCTCCCTCCCATACCTCCTTCAAGAATTGGTGAGCTTGAAAGAATTAGCTCGGGGAAAAGAACAGATCTTTGCAGCTCACTATTATTGGGCACATTTCCAAACGTGTTTTAAGATTTAAAATTTGTTCATTCATAAATCTTGAATGCAGGTACACTGTGGCAGTCTGCAGCTCTGGGGATCGGTGCATAATTATTGAACGGAGTGTTCAGAAAGTATAATTTTAATATTGTGAAGAAGACCCTTCGGCCCATTTGATCACATTCTTCCAGAACACCCACTCAACCACCCACCTGTCCTCCCATCACAGCACCAATCCCACATGCCCACCCACCGCCGCCCCACACACAGTCAGCAATTAAAGCATTATCCAGTTCGGTGTTGCAAATCTTTCACTGCTTGCAATGGGAAACTTCACTGAAAACAAATGATGAAAGAAATGCTACAGGCAAACGGCCTGCATTGCAATACAATTTACATTTACATATACAGCGCCTTTCACATTGGGAGCCAGCATGAAAGAGCTTCACACTGTTGGCTGGGCACCTAGGCTGGGAGAGGGGGTGGGTGGGGGGAGCCAAAAAGCGCACTGAGAAGAGAAAATGTGGTCAAAGAGAAACGTCTTGATACATCACACAATTGATTAGACGACTCTTACCAACTTCGAGAGACTGTTTGTTAAAAAAAGTGTCGATTGCAATATATTTTAAGTGGGCGACTCCAGATATGATCGTAATACAAGAAGGATTCAGGTACAAGAAACAAGAATCCTCACTACCCTCCCCCCAACAGTTGCTCAAAATAAAAATAATGGATTCTTAAATGTAATTTATGGATGTGGTGGGGAATCTGGATAACGCAGCTCTTCATTATTCCAAACAGGGCCCCAATTAGCTCCAGCCGCTGAAAGTAACTGCAGTGGAAGTGCAATTAAACAAACTCTAGCCTGTCCTGGAGGAAGTCTGTAATGACTTCAGGACGTTTTAAGTACTTGTTGTGGGCAAAATGGTACCTCGGGTTCTCATGATTGGAGCCACAGCCCCACCACTGAGTGTTTAGCAAACAGGTTAGTACCCAACCTGTGAATGTTTCCAATTTGGATATTCTTACAACAATAATAATCCTTGCATTTGATATCACGTCGCTGAGATGTCTCAAAGCACTTCACAGAATATAGTGTGAAGTGAATGGACAGCAGTGTCCCACAAATAGTCTTGGATTGAGTGACCAAATTTTTTGAAGAAAAATAAAAAGCCATCCGTCAACTGACTAACAACTGAGTTCCTACTTACTACTTACTTACTGCTAAGTAAACAGGTGTGTGGAGTAAGGAAACTTACCAAGGTTTTGCCCCTGCCCGGGAATCAAACCCGGGTCCTCTCGCGTGTGAGGCGAGTGCTCTAACCAACACGCCACAGGAGTTTCCGGTGTGCGTCAGCGAAAACAGCACAGCTTACAATCAGCTGCAAAGCTCGATACACAAGCGATGACATGTGTATCGATTATGATGACGTGATTGAATGGGTTCTTACCTGCTGGTCCACGTCAGGCAGCAGGAAGAGCAGCTGCTGCTGGAAGTGCAGAGGTAACGAGGCGAAGGTCCGTGAGTTGATCAATGCGCGCAGGTTCGTATTGACCAGGATCGATCCAGGTGTTTCTACATCAATCTCTTCCCCACGGTTTCGCTTCATTTGTCCTGTTTGCAGAAACACAAACACGCGCACACATGATGAGGTGCTGCAACACCATCGGCAATGCAAGAGAGAGATCTGCCTGAGCGCGGGGGAAAGGAAAGTCTGCCTTCGATCCTCACAAACTTAGAAAGTTTAGCGTTTAGTTTCAAAAGTGATCTGAACATCCGAGCTAATGATGGCCTTTAATAAAAAAAATACTTCTTGCGTTCCATACCGTGAAACGTCTCAAAAGTGCTCGATGGAGAATTGCGGTCAAGTCATTAGACTGCATTTTACAATAATAATCCTTGCATTTGATATAGCGCCTTATCACATCCTCAAGCCATCTCAAAGCGCTTCACAGAATATACTGTAAAGTGAATTGACTGTATAGTTAGTGGGCGAAACACAGCAGCCAATCGCGCACAGCAAACAGCCAGTGAAGTAAACAACCAACTTCTAATTGGGAAGGATTTTTGACCAGGAGAGAGAAACTCTGTTTGTGATGTGGTGGTGGGTGTTGTGAGAGTGTGTGTTTGTGCATACACACAAAAATCATTGCGGACACATGCGTTATTCCAGGAAGAGAAAAAGACCCTGACTCCCGGGCTAGGGATTCAGGCCTCACCTGTGCTCGAACGTCTCAGGTTTCTGAAGTGCTGCCCGGGTTTTCGGCTGAGTCCTGGCCTGCACTGCAGCTTGCTGAGCTCCGCTCGGCTGTACTGAGCAGCGCTGGAGGCCACTGTGCAGGAACTGCTGCTCAATGCACTGCTGGATTCGCCATCTGTATGCTTGGCTGCGAATGCTTGCGAGAGAAACAAAAACACAAAACACACCGCTCTTTAATCAAACCATTTTTTTTGGTCAGCCAGGTGTCCGACACATGTTGAAACTCATCACCATGTTTAACAATATCTGAAACAAACTGAGAATTCCATCTGAACATATGCACATCCCACCTGGAATTCCAGAAGTAGATTGTTGGAATGGAATGCACTCTCGCCCTGGAGGGATGCATCCTGCTTACCTAATTCCAAAAAGTATTAGGCACAGGTTGGCAAGAGCCAAGGCTTGGGGGAGCCCAGAGGGTATGTTGGGGTAACTGCTGGAGTCTAATCAGCTTGTTATTGCCACTAAAGAAACAATGCTGATTGATTGCAAGAACACGACGCATCGGACAACAACAACATTTGTATAGCGCCTTTCATGTTGGGAGGACAACCCAAGGCATTGGATAATCAGTGTTTCAGACCCGAGCTGGGGGGTCATGATTGGGGAGGGTGGAGAGCAGGGGGGGAAGGAGATCGAAGGCACAGTTGAAGAGGAGGGTCTTGAAGGAGGCAAATAGTCTCATAGTCTCACTGTTTTTTTTTGTTATTTTCACAGAGAGCCCTTCCTCTTCGATAGTGCCTTCGGTCATCCTCCCACCATCCACCCCTCTCGATCCCAACCTCCAGCTCGGATGGAAACCCTCGACTGTCCAGTGCTTTGGGACGACCTCCCGACGTGAAGGCCAGCGATATGAGTGCAACTTGTTGCTGTTGTTGAGCCTTGACGGTGAACGTTGGTGGGTTATTTTAAATCATTAATACATACGTTAAGCTAATCCATCAATGCATATGAAACAATTATTTGCAAACAATCGATTTAAGATGTATTTAAGAGGAAACTTGATGTGTACGCAAGAGATATTTACAATACGCAAGGGAACATAAAACAGATTATATATTATAGAGTGACTTAAACCAGAGGAGGGGAGGTAAAGCAACACAATCCTGTTGATAGTCTAATGTCAATGCCCTCGCACTGTCATTAGAAGTGGCACACTGCCTGATATTCCCCCCTTGCCCCTCCAGGGGGCACCAAAGCCAATTCTAGCCTTAGCACCTGCGGTCGACTCGCTATAAACAGGGACGGACATCAAAAGGCAAGGATTATTGTGGTTACGTTCATCATGAGGGAGGGCGATCGGTGTCTGTGGACTCCCTGACATTCCAGCGCAAACCCTGACCCCGACCCAGTGCAACGCAAAGAACGACAAAGCCACAACAGCAACTTGTATTTATACAGCGCCCCTCACGCGGAGTAGCGTCTCAGAGCGCTTGGGATTCGCGTGCGAGGGGCCAGACTCAGGTTAAGATAATAATATAATAATCATATCAACACCACCACAAACTTGCATTTATATAGCACCCTTCACGCAGGGTAGGGTAGCGTCCCGGAACGCTTTAATCCTTGCATTTTATATAGTGCCTTATGTCTTCAAAACGTCTCAAAGTGCTTCACAGAACATACTGCAAAGTGTAGTGACTGTATATTTTACGGAAAGTAGCCCGGGGCCGCTCTGCTCTTACCCGAGGCGGACTCCACATGCTCCCCGTTGACTTTCAGTGGTGTCAGCACCACCCTGGGGATGGACTTGCTCATCATCACCGGCACGCCGATCTTCTTCTTCGGCTGCTGCTTCGCGGACTGCAACGAGACGCGAGCGCAAATGTCAATAGAGAACAACACACTGTCCGTTTAACTTGGGTCGGATGGTGCTCATTTTCTCCATCATTTCCTCTCTTCCCCCACCCATCACCTCCTTCAACCTTCAATCTGTATCCTTCTACAATTTGGCCCAGCCTGTGATTAGCTCGTGCTTTGCGTCAACAACGGGAGGGTGTTTGGAGGTGAGCATCGGGGTCTGAGACGCTGCCCCACGTGAGTGCTATATAAATACAAGCTGGTGGTGTTGTCCTTCCATTTCCTTTTTTGTTTGTGGTCAGTCGGGTGTCTCGACACACGGAAACCCATTTGAGAGAATCCAAACCAAATTTTTACAATAATGCAACACGATAGACAGCGTTGGCAGTAGAGAGGCACACGCACAACCACACACCAAACACACGTAAACACCACAGACAGCCACCTGCACACTCAAACCCACCCAACGCCCACACCCACCCACCCCTCCCACCCACCCAACCCCCCACGCAATGACCCCCACCACCACTCTCCCCACCCACCCACGCACGCAACCCCTCATGCAACTTGCCCCCCACCACCACCACTTCCCTCCCTCCGCGTTGAGGACGAGGGATTCAGACAGACAGACATCAAAGCCCTCACTTCAGAGACACTTGAGATGGTCAGAAACTGGATACGTAAAAGTCACTCACACAGGTTTCAAATTGTGTTTCATTTTAAGCCACGCCGCAAGCCAAAGTTTCTAAAAGAGGTGAGCATGATAGGAAGCATGAAGCAACTTGGTTGGGGATGGGGTGGGGGAGTTTTTAAAAGTCTTTACAGCTGGCAAGTTTCACAGCATCTCCCACTGAAAGTCACACGAACACAAAGATGAAAGTGCACACAGATAAACATTCAAGTGATTAATAACAACAACAACTTGAATTTATATAGCACGGCTCACGTAGAGTAGTGTCTCAGAGTGCTTAACAGGGAAGCATTTGGAGATGTCTCAACGACGTGATAAGGCGCTGCATCAAATGTAAGCAACATAATCAACATCGGATCCCACCCCCAAGCCTGTAAAGGAGGATGGCTTGTTGCCCTCTGCCCAAGACTGGGAGGGGGATCTTCTCCTTCCCCCCTACCTCCCCCCCACCCCCAAAAAAACCCACAATCCTATTTTGTGCTCAATTTCAATGACTTCCCAGGACGTCACTTACCTGCTGAGCTGCTTTGTGGCTGCCATGTTTCCCAGGCGACACCTGCTTGGCTTGAACCTCAGTGGAACACGACGCATTGGAGGAGGTCTCATCGGACCCGGGCGAGACTGGGTACAGAGTGGGAGACAGAAGGAAGGTTCAGTGGGTAGATGCCCCATCCACAGAAGGACGCCCTGCAGCGTTTCGCAAGACTTACTGCAGAGTGTTCCGATTGTGTTTTGCAGGCGGCCAGTTTGCGCACCGCAATATCCCACAAACGGCCACAAAGCGAATGATCAATTCTATCTGGGGAATTGTGGGCCAGGATGCTGGGAGAGAAACTCCCTTCTCTTTTCAAATAGCGGCTTGGAATCTTTAACGTCTGCACGATTCTGTTCTGGAGTCACTCTCGCTCTCCCGACCCACGCTCCAATCCCTCCCTCCCTCCCTCTCCGTAGAAAGACCCATCTTAGCAACCGCGCTTTGAGCCACCTTTCCTCATTGTGGGACACAGCTGTGAGCAACTGGCTGCCGCTTTTCACCCGCAAAATATGCGATCAACTCGCTTTACAGTATATTCTGTGAAGAGCTTTAAGGCGTCTCGACGACATAAGGCACTGTATCAAATGCAAGGATTATTATTATTCTCTCCTCCCTCCAACCCACCAAGTCTCCCAGTTGGCTCAGCAAAGTGCTTCGAGTCATCCTCCAGACATGAATGGCAAAGTATAAAGGCAAATTGTTGCTATTGTTGTTGCATAAAGAAAATAAAAGAATCAAGCATAGATGAAGGATAGAATTTTGGAAATCAAAAAGAAATGCAGGAGCAACTACTGAATTCATTGATTGGAACTTTTCCAAAAATAACTCCACAAATCGATGCCAGAGTCAGTCAAATTGCTTTTAAATGTAACGCAGTAAATCAACACAGCCGCTGTGCTAACAGTTTATTGCAGTGAATAAACCTGTTCTTGCTACACCGTGAAGTTGCCATGTTAGGGAGTTTTTAAAACAAAGCTGGGAAGCTTTGTAAATCATAGACGGGAGTCGAGAGAGAAAAAAAATAACATTTCACTCGCCTCCACCCTGCCTTAAAAAGAAATGCCGCTGATGACAGTTACAAAGTCTTCTATTTTAAAACAAAAAAATCTTTTGGGGCAACGCTCTGAATGGATCGTAAAGCGCTGGAGCTCTGGGCTCATTAAACAAAGCAAAAATATTATTCCCGGTTTTGTGAAGGGTAATAATAATAATCCTTGCATTTAATATAGCATCGCTGAGTTGTTTCAAAGTGCTTCACAGGATATACTGTAAAGTGAATTGACTGTATGTTTTGTTGGCAAAATGCAGCAGCCAATTGCGCACAGCAGTGTCCCAAAAACAGTCATGGATCGAGTGACCAAATTATTATTTACGTTTTGTTTGGAAGGATTATTATGCCCGGAAAGCAATCCACCAACTGATTGCCAACCGGGTTCCTGCTTACTGCTAGGTAAACAGAGGTGTGTGGAGTAAGGAAACTTGTCTAAGGTTTTGCCCCGTACAGGAATCAAACCCAGGTGCTCTCAAACCGCATAGGATGAACCTTTACACGATGAAGGTAGGAATTTGCGTCGCAGTTAAGGTTGTGACAGCGACAGACAGGGTTTCGTTGCTTTGGACCCTCGCAGCTACAATTAGGCCTCATTGCCACCTACCATCATTTTCCTCTCCTGTGGTACTTGTTTCGTTGGAATCGCAGCTCTCCAAGTCAGGTCCGTCTTCGTAACCCTCGCCATCACCAATGGGGATGTTTTTGGACCACAACAACGCGTCCTTCTAAACGGAGCAGAAATGATTATAGAAAAAAAAGTTATCTCCTGATGGAAGTAAAGTAGCCAAACCAAGTCCCCTCGGTTCCGTGAAGCCGGTTTGTGGCTGAAGGAAGCTTCTAGCCCACTCGGTGTCAAACACAGAGCTGTGGTGGGTTGGACACCAACTCGCCTGGAAGCGTTCTGGGATGCTGCTCTGTGCAAGGGGCGCTATAAAAATGTAAATTGTTGTTGGCAGTCAGTCGGTCACTCACGAGCCTTGCTGGCTATGACTCTGTTTGCAATTGCTCGCGAATTATAACCCAACAGACATGTTTTTAGGACCCCTCTGACAAAAGAAAAGAAAAACATGAGCTAGCAAAAAGAGAGGCCAGAAAAACAACCGAGCCTGACTCCTAGCCATCCTGGCACAAATCCTCAACAACAACTTACATTTACATGGCAGGCTGGTGTCTCAGAGCACAAACCTCACACAGTTTAAACAGGTCCCGGTTGAGGGGACGGTCGGAAGTGATGACAGAGAACAAAAGCACCTCTCAGATGATAACAATGGCAATACAGCATCAATTCACAACATTTCCATGGCATTCAGACGCCCGGTGAACTCGGCATCATTGGAAATCCAAACCCCAAATTCCTACCTTCAGAGTGTAAAGGCCCATCCTCCCCGGGAGCCTGTAAAACATGCCATCGTCCGCGCGCGAATTGGTGTGAAGCATTGCGTTCAGGCAGGCCAAAGGAGAGGTACCACTGGAGGAAGAGTAAAGAAACAGAGTTAACAAGGCAGCTGTTAGCCTGGCCTGGATCAACGCGCTCTAGTGTTCTTATTCCCCCAACAAATTTTTTTTTAAAAAAAGTGAATTACGCCACAATTGCTTTGACCCAACAGTGCCAAGTCTCAGCTACAATCAACTGTCTCATCAAGTGCTGCCTTGTTCGTTGGTCAGGCTAGCTCAGTCAGTAGCACTCTTGTTCCCAGTCAGAAGGCTGTGAGTTCAAGCCCCCATGTCACAGTCTAGGCTGCCGCTCCAGTGGAGTACTGGGATTGGTTGGGTTTGGGGTGGGGAGGGGGTTGTAAAGGTCGGGGTGTGCTGTACTGTCAGAGGTGCCATCCTTCGGATAAGACAATGAACTGAGTCTCCATCTGCCTGCTCAGACCCTGAAAGATCCCGTGGCACTATCTCAAGTTTCTTCCAGTGTTCTGTCTATCAATCCACACGTACCCCTTCCCTCACCCAATAACAAAAATGGCTGTTTGTGGGACAACGCTGTGCGCATGTTGGCTGATGCATCCACCTACAAAATACAGACACTACACTTTACTGTAAACTCCTGTGAAGTGCTTTGAGACATCAATGACATGATAATGTCACTCAAAGGGGGTGAAAAAAAATTGAGCTGCAAAAATAACTATCTCCCCGCAATCCTATATAGACGTATCCCTGTTATGCGAATAATAATCCTTGCATTTGATATAGCACAGTATTACATCACGTTCCAAAGCACTTCGTAGGACATACGGTAAAGTCGATTGACTGTATTTTGTGGGCAAAACGTGGCAGCCAATTGTGCACAGCAGTGTCCCACAAACATTCACAGGCTAAGACTTGATGAAATTTTAGGCTTCTAGTTTCTAAAGTGTACTGAAACGCTTGCCCTGACCAACAATCCTCCCAGATTAAAGATTGGCCATATGCTTTGTGGCTGTTTGTGGGACGTCGCTCTGCTCGCGCAAAATGGCCTACAAAATGCTTCTTACAGTACACTTTAGAGTAACTCCTGTGAAGAACTTCAAGACATCCTCTGGATTTGAAAGACGATGTATCCAATGCAACGATTATCATTGGGAAACTCACCATCATTAGCAAAGGACACAAGTAAAACTGCTACTTGTAAATCTATTATGCGCTTCCTACCGACACGAAAGGCGCTATATCAAATGCAAGTATTATCGTTATTACAAATGAAAAAAAACTTTCTTAAATGATGGATATTGGGGGATACGAGAGAAAATAAAACAAAATAGTATTGTGGTTCGACGAAGAGACGTGGACTATTCGAAATGTCTACAACACTTCCTGTGCTTTGCTAGTTTACTGCTTGCAGCCGCCCAGTTAAAGCATTCAGAGCCCGAGGGTGTCTCTTGCGTATAAAAACGTATCCTACAACAAGCAGGAGGTGACAGAGCCAGACACAAACAAGCATTCAAAGCCTTTGGAGGGTGGGAGGAGGGAAAAGTTAAAAAGCGTCAACAATAAAATGATATGGACTTTCTTTAAAATATATCAACTATTTTAAGAAGGAAGAGAGGGCTATGGGAAAGCGGTGGAAGTTCATATGGGGAGTATAAGCTGTACAGGTTCTGTGAAACAAAAGTAGGTAAGAAATAAAGTTGATACTTTTAGTCCCGAGTCCATCTCATTAATGAACCATGGAGGGAAAGAGGGGACAGAAAACAACAGCCCGAGTAATTTTGATTAATAGTAAAATTCACCTGCGGTACTCGATCATAAAAGGATTTACCATTAAAATTTGCACTGCGCAATTACATCAAAGTTCAAGAAAACCCATGCATTAGCAATGTATCTTGCCTGGGTTTTGTGCCGTTTGACAAACAGGCACGCAAAGGAATAATGCAACAGTAGGGCTTTTTTTTAAAAAAAGAAACAAGGTACATTAAACTTATTTACCTAGTGGCTTGCGGGTTTAAACAAAATGGTCTCAAAGTGCTCTGGCAGAACGATGTGAGTTAGGCATAGATTAACAGGGAAATTAGACAAGAAATGAAAGTGAACTCTTTGGAGATGAACCAAACTCAAAGCTTCACAACCAAAGTTAACACAGGGCCAAGGTTGGGAACATGGGTGAAAATTGGGCAGATCTCTCTAGCTAGTTTCTGGGACTTTGATAAAGTCCAGGGTTTATAATAATAATAATCCTTGCATTTGATATAGCGCCTTATCACGTCTTCGAGACGTCTCAAAGCGCTTCACAGAATATACTGTAAAGTGAATTAACTGTGTTTTGTGGGTGAAACGCGGCAGCCAATTGCACACAGCGGTGTCCCACAAACAGTCGTGGATTGAGTGACCAAATTCTTTTTTTTGTTTTAAAGAAGTTTTTTTTTAAAAAAAAAACACAGCTGGTTTTCGAGCCAACTTCACTCACAAACGCACACCTTTACTCCCAGCTGCTGTACCAGACCAGACACCCCTTCCTAAGTGAAACCAGACCCGCGGGGGGAGGGGGGGGAAGAAACTACAAACACACACGACCTCATATGGAAGCAACGTAGAGAGAAAGATAAATCCAACAGTGAGTTTGGACTGAAAGGCGAGTAGGGAATGTTTGGTGTGGCGAGAGGGTGAATCACTAAGGTGTAGCTTTTTGTTTGATGAGTGGACAAGCGAGATGAAGTGTAAAAGCGATATAAACAGCAGCGTTTGCTACAATGTTCTCCGCATGGCTTCAGCGAAGTGTCGGACACGTATTTATTGCGAGTGCTGGATGTAGTTCACAGTGGATAGCAGGTGGTGAACAATGAATTACACAGCAATAATTCAAACCAATTCTGGAAGCAAACCACACAAGCAAAAGAAGCAGCAGTTTATAGGAGTAGGAGCAGAGCCTGGTCCACAAATTACTGCCCTCAAATCCTCTAGAAAGCACCTCACTGCCTTAGTTATAGTGTGTCTTTTTTGTGCAAAATGCTATTTGATCTTTTTGCTGAATGGTTGGTCTGGGGAGAGGAGGTGCCGTGGAGCTTCGAGAATATAAATTGGGAGAGGTTTTAACCGGTGCTACAGCAAAGGAACAGGAGTGGGCCATTCAGCCCCTCGAGCCTATTCCACCATTCGATCTGTAGCTCAACTCCAAAATAAAAATGATCAGAATAATAAGTTGCACCTTTAGGCAGCATTTAAAAGCACCAGCAAACAATTGTCTCAAAAGTACAAATGATCAGAAATAAAGGAAATGCTGTTATAATCAGAAAACACAGCGGCCAATCTGTGCCAGCAACGAGCTACGATGAGATGAGCGGCTAATTAATATGAATTGGGGGATAAGTTTGAAATGGGGGGGGGGAGAAGCGGTAGAAAAGGGGGGAGGTATATATATTTAATGTGTATATAAATATATATATATATCAATAAAAAAGGAGATATACTCCACGTTTCTTTGAAATAGCAACTGCGCTTCCACCTGAATTACAAGGCAGATAAAACCTAAATGTAAAACAATCAAAGAATAGCACGATTTTGAAGGAAACTTAAAAAAAAGTTGATTTGGTATGGCACCTCGGGCGGATGTACCAAAGCGCTTCAGGTATAGTAAAACGTAGGGGCAGACAGGAGCTTGGCTGTTAAAGCCAAGCCGCCACAGGCTACCGAGACCCTGATCCACACGTTCATCACATCCCGGCTTGACTACGCCAACTACCTGTTCACTGGACTTCCCAACGCTTCCCTCCATAAGCTGCAGATTATTCAAAACTCCACAGCTCATGCACTCTCCCCGACCAGGCTCCACGAACCAATCGCCCCCGTTCTTGACCGGCTTCACTGGCTCCCTATCCCTCAGAGAATCGAGTACAAAACCTTCGTTCTCACCTTCAAAGCCCTCCGTTGTCTTGCTTCCCTCTACCTCTCTGACCTCCTAACCGCCATATCAGCCTGTCGCTCGCTCCACTTGGCTTACTGTTACGGCCTGTTTTAGGTCCTCCGCATCTTCCTGCCCCACCATTGGTGGTCAGGCATTCAGCATCTCTGCCCCCACACTCTGGAACTCTATCCCGCAATCCCTCTGCCTCATCCCCTTTCTTGCCTCCTTCAAATCCCATCTGAAGACCTTTCTATTCGTTCGTGCCTTCAGCCACCCTCCCACCCCCACACCACCTGCTCTTCACCGTTCCTGACCCCAACTCCGAGGGCGGGTCCAAAAATCCTGACTGTCCAGGGCCCAGGGATGTGTTTCCGACATGAATGGCACTATACAAATGTAATTTGTTGGTGTTATTAATGCCTCGTCCAAAGGATGGCACTTCCGACAAGGCAGCGTTTCCCCAGCACTGGACTGCAAGCCTACACTAAGCGAGTTCAAAGTCCCAAGTTACATAGGCAACCCGGGCCAGCCACGTTTATATGCAATGAGTGAAATTATATCAAAACTTGGAAGGGAAACAAAAAAGGAAGGGGAAAGTAAATAAAGATGATACAAGAGCATTAAAAGCAGACAGTAAAGTGCAGTTGTATGCTACACATACAACCCCCTTGATAAAATTGTCCATTCATTTCATGGCTGTTTGTGGGACACGATCGCTTACAAATTGTACAATCATTACACTTTACAATAAATCCTGTTAGACACTTTGAGGAGTCCCCCCGTCCCCCCATATGAAAAGCGTATTATCAACACAAGGATTAATCAGCATCAATATCATCATAAATTTATTTCGCAGTGAGTTTTGGGTCAGCAATGCTGTGTCTAGTCTGAAGCATTAAACCCAAAACAAATCATCATTACTTCCTGAAACTAGATCAACATCAGTTTGACCCACTCCCTCTCTAGATGCTCTTAAAAGGATTTACCCCAATTCAACAACAACAACAACAACAAGATTCCATTTATAGAGCGCCTTTCACGTCAGGAGGACGTCCCAAGGCGCTGCACAGTTGGGTCATGACCCGAGCAGGGGGGAAATGGTCAGGGTGAGGGAGGGAAGGGAGGAGAGAGGAGGGGGAAATGGTCAGGGTGAGGGGAGGGAAGGGAGGGAGCGAGGAGGAGGAAGAGAGTCGAGAGGGGAGCTGAAGGCACGGTCAAATTCAAGGCAGATGGCGATTTTGCCGATCGTTGTGCACATAGTGTTGCCCTGCCCGCTTGAAAATGAGCCAAATGACCACAAACAAAATAATAACCCTGCTCCGTCCACACAAGCTACTTGCACAGACTGTGCAGTCACCCAGATACGCAGCGCTCAGCCAGTGCTGGCCACACATTTCAACCGCATGTTCCAATACACGGTGAAAAAGTTAATTGACCACAATTATGTTGCTTTGTAGCCATTGGGAAGTTAATGAAGCTTGCCCATGAAAACATTAGTATCCCAGAGCCTGTTCACCGGTCCAATTTTGTTCTGGAGAGTTCTTTTAAGTGTGCGGTTTGCGTGTTTATCATGGAAACCTTCACTGTTGCCACTTGTCGTGGGGGGTAGGGGTGGATCAAGTGCGACTGGCAAACTGGTTAAACCGCCATTGTCGGTGGGATGAGCTCATTGTTCGGCTTTCAGTAGTTCAGCATTAGGATTTGGGGGCAGTCCCAGTTTTAAAGCGTCAGCCTGGCTCAGTCAGAAGCACTCTCACCTCTGAATCAGAAGATTGTGGGTTTAAGCCCCTCTCCACCCCCCACTTTGTTGCGACTTTGAGCTCAGACAGTCTAGGCTAACACTCCAGTGCAGTGCTTGGGGGTGGGGGGGGGGGGGGGTTAGTGCATTGTCAGAGGCACTGCCCTTCATTTGAGACATTGAACAATGTCTCGTCTGGCTAAGACTTTAAAATCAATAGATGTTTCCTCTTGTGCAGATATCTAATAAAACATGGAGGTCGAATTATGAAATTGTGAAAGAAAATAAGTAGCATAATAACCTGCTCCGGTTATTCCCAGAATTTATACTGAAATATAGTGGAAGCCATAATTCTTCCAATTCAGCTCCTGTTAACTCTGGAAGTCAAAGCCCCAACGGGTATGGTGGTGCTGACTGGATAAGCAGTTGGAAAGCTTGCCAGACAGCAATGTCAATGGCAAGCTATGCGATTTTAGCTGGTAAAAGACCAACAGTTACCCCAACTCTGGGGTCCCTAAGCCTCGGCTCGTGCCAACCTGCGGCCAAATATCTCTTCGGGATTAGGAGAGCAGGATGTGTCCCTCCAGGGAAGAATACGCACATCCCATTCCAGACACAGGGCAATTTTCAAGTGTAGATGGATTCCACAAGTGGCGCCATCTGTCCGGTTTGGATACTCTTAAGTACAGTGATGGGTTTCCATGTGTATGCCAGATACCTGGCTGACCAAAACAATTGCTGAAATAACACATCAGTGGCCATTCGAATTAATCAATAACAACATCCAATTAATAATCGCCCATAACTTGAACCCTTGAAATTGCTAATTCCGTCCCCAGGTTTACTAGTGTGACTGACACAACAAGACACACATTCTAGTATCCACGACTGTATTAAAAATGCTTACCTTCTAAGACCATTGCATCAAGGATACAGCCATGTAAAAGGAAGAGAAGATTTTTAGTACATATTTATACAAATCATTCACATAGTTCTTTCGAAGAAACATTTGACAAGAGATTCCAGGATTGATAGGGGAACAACCGGCAATAGATTCAACAATTTTTAAAAAAAAACATACAATTATTTTCTAATAAGCGATTTTGGTAATCTGAATCATACATTTCTGGTTTCCCAAAAACAAGAAAATGGGTTAAAAGTGCACAACGGTAGCGTTGTTTCCCCCATCTTATGATGAAAGAGTGAACTTGAGTATTGTGTTAAAAAAAAGGGTTGCCCAATACAGGGCCAATGTCTAAATGCAGAATCTGACAGCCTCTGCCTAGTTAGATTTTTGCGTTTTCTGCGGCATTTGTCTCCATCCCTTTCAAAAATACTTCCACAAAATATACCTTTCGCCCACAAAACGTACAGTCAATTCACTTTATAGTTTATTCTGTGAAGCTCTTTGAGACGACTCAACAATGTGATAAGGCCTATATCAAACGCAAGAATTATGATTATTATTCCAACAGATTTTCAGAAATGGGTTGAGAAAAATTCTATATTTATAAATAATAATCTTTGCTTTTTGGGGGTTTAGTGCCTTATCACAACTTTGAAACAGCTCAAAGCGCTTCACAGGATATCCTGTAAAGTGAATTTACTGTATATTTGTGGGGGGAAAGCAGCAGCCAATTGCACAGTTGTGAATTGAGTGACCAAATAATAATAATTATTATTATAATCCCCAGAAAAGCGTTGTGCCAATCGACTAACAACCTGGCTCCTACTTACTGCTACGTAAACAGAGACTTGTGCAGTAAGGAAACTTGCCCAACATTTCTCTCTGCCGGAAATCGAACTCTGGTCCTCACTAACCTACAGGACTCCACAGCGCCTTTCACATCGGGAGGATGTCTCCAAGTGCTCAAGGCTTACTGACTGACCTGAGCTGGGGTGGGAATCGAGAATATCCCCGTTAGAGAACTTCAACCAAAACATGAACGCAAAATGCGTGCGTGGTATGCGTATGTGCAAGTGTTGTGTGGGGTTGGGGGGTGGGGATGGAGGACAAAAGCAAACATTTTTGGTACAAAGGAAACCCCTTTTAACTTGACACTAGCCCAACTTGGGTTCGATTCCCAGCAGGGCGAAACATTGGGCAAGTTTCCTTACTCCACACGCCTCTGTTTACCTAAGTAGGAACCCGGTTGTTAGTTGATTGGCAGGTGGGTTCTCCAGAGGTAACAATTCCTTCCAAAAAATATCGGTCACTTCAATCCACGATTGGTTGTGGGACACTGCTGTGCACAATTGGCTGCGTTTCACACACAATATACACAGTCAATTCACTTTACAGTATATCCTGTGAAGCGCTTTGAGATGTCTCAAAGATGTGATAAGTTGCTATATCCAAAGCCAGGATTATTATTATTTATCACTTAAGACATCAATCATCGCTATCAAAGCATCATTTATCTATCATTTATCATTTATACATGTGCCTAACTCACCACACCGGATAAATCGTCACTGACCCATTTTCCTATGGAGTGACGAGTTATCAGGAATTAGTTTACTGTGGTTTTTTTTAACTCCCTTGTTCCAACCAAATTGAATTTGCTGTTGACGTTAATGAAAGCCAAGGAGAGGCATCAGCACTAACCCTAGGCTCCCATTTAGAAGATGTGGGTTGTAATTTCAACCTTGAATGACATTTAAGCTAAGGCGGGGTCGAGAGTATTGGTAACCGGGGCTGCTCACTCGATGTAACCAAGTGTTACCGCGATGGGACAGGAGAGGAAGAGAATACATGCAGTTATAATGGTGGATGGAGAGAAGGGAGCCAGCGGGCGGGGGGAGGAGGGTAGAATTCCTGACAAACTGTGCGTGTATGTGGAGAATGAGAATTAACAAAATCCCTAACAATTATTTTCATGCTGCTGAGAAAATAAGTTGGGTCTCTCACTCTCTCTCCCTCCCCTGTTCCCCCCACCCCCACTGCCCCCAATTCGCTTTTGCTATCCATCTTATTAAGAAAAAAAACATACACTCAGCATTTTTCTGGTGTGTAAAAAAAATTGAGAACTGACCTCATTTCCTTCAGCCTTTCGGTCTCTATAACGTGGAGAATCTGTTTAGGAGTCATTGGAGCGTCGGAATAATTTTCCAGCACCTGCGGACAGATACACACTGAAATCTAAGTCAACCATTAGACAGCATAACACACACATACCCCCACCCGTTTCTGTCGACATTGTGGAAACCAAGCAAATTTTGTCAACATAAACAGTAATAACACAATACACGTACTGCTGTTGGGGATTCGAAAAATTTGCAGTATTTTGCCAACATATGACATTTTGCCAATGTAAACGGGTTCAAGGGAAGTGGGTAGCACTGTATATGAACCCCCCCCCCCCACACACACACACAATCATGCATGAGAAATTAGGTTCTTAACACAGGTCTTTTTTCAGTACACTTTACAGTCAATTTTCACATCACAAGAATTACAGACAACGATGAACAATATATAGGTGACGAATGCACATCATAATCGCAATTTATAACCTTAGGACATCCCGAAAAAGACCGAGAGCAGGAGATGAAGAATAGAAACGCTCTGACCTCGGGCACTAGCAGGCGAATCACACTGCAAAAAGGCAGCATCAACAACAATGCATAACTACTTATTAGTAGCCCACACTTCAATAGAATATCTTCTGGCTTTGCCGAAAAACACAAAAGGGAAAAAAAACGACCCACAACAACTCCAACTTGTATCAAAGCTTTTTTTTAAAAAAAAATGCTGATGTTGATAAAGCGCTGTACTACTACTAATAATCCTTGCATTTGATATAGTGCCTTGTCACATCTTCGAGACGTCTCAAAGCGCTAATACTGTAAAGTGAATTGACTGTATATTTTGTGAGCAAAACGCGGCCGCCAATTGCGCACAGCAGCGTCCCACAAACAGTCATGGATTGAAGTGACCAATTTATTATTATTATTTCATGCAATAATAATTTAGTAGTAACAGTTTATGTAATAGTAATCCTTGCATTCGATACAGTGCCTTATCACATTGTTGAGGCGTCTCAAAGCGCTTCCCAGAATTGACTGTATATTTAGCTGTAGTTTGTAGCAAGCAAACTATTGGATCACAAGTTGTCTTAATGCACGCAGAAACTGAGAAATGCACGTAGTTTTGCGCCGTTCCTCCTCCCCCCACCAAACACACATATTGGTTTACTACCTCCCCCCTCCCCCCACCCAAACACTCTCCCTTTGGAATTTCCACGCATCGCAAGAGTCTGTTATCTGCCCCAAGCAAACATTCTTCGTGAGCACCACCAGAACAGTAAAGAGAAGGAGGAGTAAGGAATTAAATGCCTTCAGGCGAAAAGTTAGTCACCCAGCTTCACACCAGCACGGCAGGCCAGCCATTAATGCGACTGGGAGACATTGAAGTCTACTCTCATGCCTAGTTAAATAATAATAAATAATAATTCTTGCATTTGATTTAGAGCCTTATCATGTCTTTGAGGCGTCACAAAGCGCTTCACAGAATACATTGCAAAGTGGAACGACTGGGCATTCCATGGGAGAAATGCGGCCGCAATCATACACAGCAGCGTTCCACAAACAGTCGTAGACTGAATGACCAAACCATTGTTTTTTTTAAAAAAAGGGATTTTTACCCCTGGAAAAATGATCTGCCAATCGACTAACAACCAGGTTCCTACTTACTGCTAGGTAAACAGTTGGTGATGACAAAGAAGATACCAGAGAAAAGTACTCAGTGAAGGGCAGACAGATCTTTTAAATCAATTGAAGCTCATTTTGCTGACCCGTCAGTGTCAGCATCTTTGAACTCACAGTTCAGGTTGATACTCCACAGTGTGGTACTGGGAGGATGAGGAGTTAAACTGAGGCTTCATTTGCCTGCTCAGGTGGTTGTTAAAGGTCCAACAACAACAAATTACATTTGTAAAGGGCCTTTCACATCGTGAGGACCTCCCAAGGCACTGAACAGTGTGTGATTTGCACCTGAACTGGGGGTTGGGATCAGGGAGAGTGGAGGGCAGGGGTAGGAGAGTGGCCAAAGGCGCGGTCTTGAGACATGCTTTGAAGGAAGCGCGGGAGCAAGACAAAGGGACTGAGATGGAGTTCCAAAAGATGGGGCAGAGAGGCTGAACGTCCGACCAACAATGATGGGACGGGCCAGGCGGGAGACACGGAGCAGGCCGGAGCCTGCTGAGCAGACTGAGCGGACAGGTTGGTATGGGGTTAGCAGATTCACAAAGGTGGGAAGGAGCAAGGCCGCGGAGGGCCTTGAAGACAAGGATTTTGAACTCTATCTTCTGCATTTATATAGCGTCCCTCACGCGGGGTTGCGCCCCAGAGTCTCCAATGATACCATTTGAAAGCAAAGAGCAGGGAGCTTCTTCCCTTGTCCTGGCCCAACAATCCCCATTTCCATCTCTCCCACACATCACCAAGACAATGAGTTGCCAGAAAATAATCTGAAGATCTTGGATATAACCCAACATAATTTGACTCAACTAGGTGCTGCCTTTAATCACCTGATGAGCATTAAGTGGAAAGTACAGAACAATTGTGATGAGTGTTGTCCTGTCAGAACACTTAGTTTAGGGGATGACCCTAAACTAAGAAAAGGTGCTGCCCCGAGTGAGCGAGCGAAATCTGGCCATCTCTTGGATCCAATAAGCAACACTGTTAACACACACACAAGCGCGCACACACGTACAACTACAAATTAATCTGTTTGAGCCACACAGGCAATTAACATATCTTGGTTCCTAATCTGCTTTGTGCACTGGGGACGGTCTGCGTCGTCAGTAATATTATTTAAGCGCATTAGTGAGGGCAACACTCCTGCACCCCTCCCGCTGCTACGCAGAGATAACACACAGGTGTAACTTTTGTTTTTGCTACCTTCACGTATATTTATTATATATATATATAAAAATCAATCATTTGAAAATAAGATGCCAAATCTAAACATTGTTGACTCAAACAGACTAGCTCCGATACCGATTGCTCACACTATCATTGAGCCCTCTCAAAGTTGCGTCTCCTTAAAATTTAATTACAAGAAATTCTTCAGGGAAATGGTTAATTACATGCCAACAATTTCAAGTCTTGCAATTTCAGCACCTTTCAAATCAGCCCTGGGACAGTGCAGCCCGTGCTACTGCAGAAAGGCTTTCACATGTGTACAGCATATGGCAATAACCGGGAATATTGCCATCCCAAACCACTCCCCTACACGAGCCACACGCTCACTTCAGAAGCAAAGGCAACTCTCGAGATGGAGGGGTCACGCAAAGTCAGGCTGGTTCAAATCGATAAAACTCTCGCCTCCTTGAGTCAGAAGGTTGTGGACTCGAGCCCCAGGTCAGGACTCTGAACTGTTACGGTCTATAGTAACATTCCAGTGGAGGGCTGCACTGTCAGAGGTCGGAAGGGAGGTTAACACCGAGATCTTGTCTGCCTATTCAGGTGGACGTTAAAGATGCCCTGGCACTACTCAACAAGAGCAGGGAATTTCTCCCGGTGTCCTAGCCAAGTATCTCCTTTAGATAAAATTGGTCATCGACTTCATTGACATTTTTGGGATGTTGCTGTGTGCCAATTGACTGCCATGGTCATCGACAAAATACACAAGTCTCTACAGTGCACGGTAAAATCCTGTGAAGCACATTTTGAGACAACTCGATGAGGCGCTGTATCAAACGCAAGGATCGTTACGTACGGTCTGGATTCCAATTTAGCTGATAAGTTGGACTCCATCATAGCTGATCAGTTGACAGTTGTCATTTGGAAGGCATGAGTAATGTTGAGAGAGAGAGGTAACCATCACAGAGCACGAACACTATTACTCGTTAGGACTAACTTGTGCTGAATAACCGTTCCTCATTAGAAACACCAAGCCAGTGACAAATTGTGAAACCCCCTCGAAATTCCTACAGCATAAACAACTCGAGAAAGGGTCTGCAAACCACTTGAAACACAAAACGTGTGCAAAGCGACATCGCTGAGTACCCACTGCAAGCAATCGCAAAATAAACTTTGAATTTCACACAATTGCTAAAAGCTCACTCAGCAATCTCTGTACGTGCGTCGCATCCACAAAATATAGAAACAAGCCATTCGCGTTTCGCCCACAAAATACGCAATCAATTCACTTTATAGTATATTCTATCAAGCGCTCTGAGACGTCTCGAAGACGTGATAAAGCGTATATCAAATGCAAGAATTATTATTATTATCCCTACCCCCTACCAGCCCTCAATAACATCCATTTCTAGAAATGTTATTCAGAGAAGAGATTCTCAGTTAAGATGACACAGAATGTTGCAGCAACAAAATAAGCCATTCGGCCCAAACAGTCCGTACCGATGTGTGTACTCCACCCCTCGTAATCCCACCCCCCCATTTCGCCCTCCACCTACCCCTCGCTTTCCTTCTTCCAGAGGAAGATAAACGTTGAACATCGAAAATAAATGAATAAAAAAATGCAACCGAACAATTTTGTGTTCTTTGAGAAAGCTAGTTTGGGGTTTCTACATATCTAACAAGGAGACAATTTGGATTTTAATTAAATAAGACACACCCCACCCCAAAATAAAATCAGACTGGAACAATAAAAAAGGACTGGGTGTACTACTCAATTACATTTTCGATTATATTTCCATTATTTTCCCCCCCAAAACGTCACAGTATTACAAGAAAAAAAATTATTTTAAGAACACTGGTAATTTTCTGCCACGTCAACGGAAAGAGTGCAATGAGACGGACTTGAATGTACGGACAGAGAGGAGAGAAAAATGATTACAAAGCAGTAATCTAATAGAGGGGTTTAAATAATGCTGTAAAACAAGAAAACAGAATTCAGGAAGATTTGCGGCCGTTATGATTAGAGTGGGGGCAGGAAGGTTGAGGGCCCAATCCTGATGATGGCACATTTTTAAAAAAAAATATGGGATGGAGACGGTCGGCCAGGTCACCAGAATAAACTCTCGTCTCCTACGGTGCCCCGAGATCTTTAACATCCACCCGAAGGGGCAGACGGGACCGTGGTTTAATGTCTGATCCAAAGGACGGCACCTCCAACAATACAACGCACTCCCAGCACCGCATGAGTGTCAAGCCTGGACTACATGACTAGCAAGTAATTCCATTGGTTGCACACATCATCCACAATTTGTCTATAATTAAGTTAATCTGGAAAGGACTCCCTATACTGCATACGAAAGGGAACTGTGAAACTGACCAATAAATCTCAGTAAGACAGGAACAGGCTGGAGGAGTCCATTAGTCCATCCAATTTCCCAAAAGATTTCATCCACCCTTTGTCGCATTGTCCAATGACCTGAATGGGCGGTGCACAAACTGGCCACAGCATTCATCTACCAAACTCACAATCACTACACTTCACAGTATATCCCGCGAAGCGCTTTGAGGCATCTCAACGACATGAGAAAGTGCTGTATCAAATGCAAGACTTATTATTACGATAGAAAATTCTGTGAAGAGTCTTAAGACGTCCTCCCCAGACTTAAAAGGTCCTATATTAAAAGCAGGGAATGTTATAGCATTAATTATCATTTTAATTTCCAGGGACTCGAGTGTTTTGGAGCTTTGGTGTTCTCTTTGTTTGCCACTCGCTATTCTGGTCAAGTTGGTTCCACATGCCCGTCGCCTTTTAACTAAGAAAAACAATAAACTCAGAAAAATATAGGCAAGGTACATTAAACATTACAACATGGGAAGGTCAAGCACGCTTCCCAATAATCCATACATTCAACAGTGACCAAGCCCGCACTTTTATGCTCAAAACGCTCAATACAAAGGCAGCTAAAATATTGAGAGCAATTTAACAAGATTGTTCTAACACGCTCAGCAATTTCTGCCATCGACTATATTGGTTTACCATCGAACCCTTCTCTCACCTACAAAAGACACAGTCGCTACATTCTACAGTACATCCTGGGAAGCACTGCGAGACGTCTAGCGCAGATTTGAAAGTTGCTGCTGCTATCAAATGAAAGGATTATTTTTATTACAACATCATGGAGAACTACAAAATGCTGGTTACTTCTTGGAGCTAAATCTCAGGCGCCGACAGCATAACCATCCAAGGATGCTCACTCCAACTCACTGAGCCAGTCCGGAACCTTGGCATCTTGCTTGATTGACCCTCAGCTATTCTTTCTACCCCACAACCGTGCCATGACCTGCTCTGCCTTCCCCCACCTCCGCAACATCACCCGGTTCTGCCATTGTCTCATACCACAGGCCGCAGAGACCCTCATACACGCATTCAGAACGTCCAGGCTCGACTACGTAAACCCCTGCTTCTCGGCCTCCCCAACTCCTCCCTGAAGAGGCTGCAGATCATCCAGAACTCTGCAGTCCGTGTCCTCTCCCGCACCAGGTTCCACAACCCTATCACCCCCATCCTCGCCCGACTCCACTGGCTTCCCATCACACAGAGGATATAGTTCAAGATCCTGGTTCTCACCTTCAAAGTCCTCCATGGCTTTGCTCCTCCCTAGCTCTGCGACCTCCTAGCACCTTACCAACCTGCCCGCTCCCACCGCTCAGCGGGCTCCGGCCTGCTTCACGTAACCCACCTCGCCCGCCCCACCATTGGCAGACTCAGCCACCCTGCCCCCACCCTCTGGAACACCGTCCCGCAGTCCCTCCATCTTACCCCTTTCTTGCCTCCTTCAAGACCCGTCTCAAGACCCTCCTCATCAATCGTGCCTTCGATCACACTCCTTTCCCCCTGCCCTCCACCCTCCCCAACCCCGACTCCCAGCTCGGGTCAGAAACACTGATTGTCCAGCGCCTTGGCACGTTCTCCTGACGTGAAAGGCGCTATGCAAATGTAATTTTGTTGTTGTTGTTAACAACGTCCAAGCGCAGAGTGACACATTATCAGGGGGTTTGGATAATGAATTGCCAGTTACACTATCCCAGAGGGTAGAATGATTTAGAAACAGGAGCTCTGGTCTGCAATAATAAATAATAATAATCATTGCATTTGAGATCACGTCGTCGAGACGTCTCGAAACGCTTCACAGAATATACTGTGAAGTGAATTGACTGTATATTTTGTGGGCGAAATGCAACAGCCAATTGCGCACAGCAGCGTCCCACAAACAATCATGGATTGAGTGACCTAATTTTTTTAAAACAATTTTTAAAAAAAGGATTATTATCCCTAGAAAGCGTTCCCCTAATCGACTAAAAACTGGGTTCCTACTTACTGCTAGGTAAACAGAGGCATGTGGAGTGAGTAAACGTGCCTAAGGTTTCGCCCCGCCCGGGAATCGAACCTGGGTCCTCTTGCTCGTGAGGCGAGTGTTTTAAGCAGCGCTCTGTAGGACTCCTGTGTCCTAGGCAATGCCTAGCTTCTGCATGTAAAATACAAAAATTACTTGACAATAGAAATCAACTGGCAATCGGGAACTAGCTGGGCAAAAAAATTCTGCATTGCATTGATGCGGTGAAGGTGGGGGAGGAGTGGGGAAGAGAGATTCTCCTGGTTACACAAACACCAAAGCAAAAAGGAGTGATTGGACAAAACGGGGTTCGTGCAACTACACTGGATTGCTGGAGGCGCACAACAAGCTATCAGCCTGGTAGTGTTCTCACCTCCGAGTCTGAAAGTTGTGGCTTCGAGCCCCTTCCTCGGGACTTTGAGCTCACACAAACTCCGCTAACGCTCCAGCACTGTGCTGGGGCGAGTGTTGCATTATCGGAGATGCCGTCCATCGGATTAGATATTAAACCGAGATCCCACAGAGCAAACGTTAAAAGACACCACCCGAAAAGAGAAGGGAGTTCTTCCTGGAGTTCCAGGCCAACAAACACCCTGATAAAAAAAATTGTTCCCTCGCTTCATGGCCTTTTGTGGGGCATTGCTGTGTGCGCAAACAGGCTGCTGTGCCGGCCTACAAACATAGTCAACCGCACTATACAGGAAATAAATAATAATAATCCTTGCATTTGCAAATCCCGAGTCATCTCCGAGTCACTCACAATTTGCCCTACGCTGCACGGAGACACTCCGCCAGGTACGTCAAGACGTCTCGGGGCGGCGCTACATCAAATGCAAGGGTTGCAATAATAATAATAATCACAATAATAAATAACCAGTACGCACATCAACACCGAGCATATAATTTCGCCTACAAAATACAGTCAATAAATACTTTACAGTATATTCTGTGAAGCGCTTGAAGACATCTTGATGAAGTGATAAAGTGCTATACCGAATGTAAGGATTATTATTATTATATAAAGATGTTGCAAATGGATATCTATTAGCCAGTAAGGTATGCACACACATGATCTTTTCTTGGAAGCAGAACCCCTTTGCCACACCGTACCACCAACACCCACCCACCCCCTCCCTGTTCTCTCTACACAGAGCGGTAATTTAATAACAACAATAATAATAATCCTTGCATTTGACGTAGCGCTTCATCACGTCTCGGGAGATGCCTCAAAGCGCTTCGCGGAACGCACCGCAAAGTGAATCGACTGTGGGCGAAACGAGACATCAAACGCAAAGATAGATAAAAGAATAATAATCATAATAATCAATCAATCAATAATAACAGCGTGTGTGTGTGTCTGTGTGCGTGTGGGGCGGGCGGGCGGGCGGGAGGAGACAGGGCTGGACTGGACTGGAGTGTGACACGCATGACATACATGTGCCGGGTTTGGGCTTTTGTTGTGGGGAGGGTGGGGGGGGGGGGTACATTATTATTGTTATACAAACTAGAAGAGGAAGCCAACTCGGGCTCAGGAGCGCCCGCCCTCCACAGGGTCATGAACCCATTTCAAAATTGTTTCTTCTGAATGGAGCAAAGGGAATGGAACCATTTGCAAAAAAAAAAGCCACACACACACACACACACACCACACAATCACACACACACTCAACACAACAATAAATAAATATATACATATACATATATATATATAGATATCAACATAAAAAGATTTTTTTTTCTTTTCTTTTCTCTCTCTCTCTCTAGTTACCATGCGGGCAGCTTCAGCCCACGTGCGATCCTTCTTCTTCTTTTGCTGCTGCTGTTGCTTGTCTTTCATGGCTTTATTTTCCCCCTTTCTTTCTGTTCCTCTCCTCCTTTTCTTCTCTTCACTCACTCACTCCCTCCCTCTCTCTCTCTCTTTACCTCCCCCTCTCTCTAAAAAAAAAGGGTGTGTGTGTGTGGGGAGGGGAGGGTTGCAAGTGGAAGGAGAGACGTGGTGTTGTGTTGTGTTTTGTTTGACCCCCTTCTCCTCCTCCTCCTCTTCTTCTTCTCCTCCTCTTCCTCCTCCTCTCCTCCCCCCTTTTTTTAAAAAAAATTAAATTAAAAACAAATTTAAAAAAATAAACGAAGAGGGGAGGGAGGGAGAGGAGGGGAGGAGGGGTGGGTTGCAAAGGGTGTGTGTGTGTGGGGGGGGGGAGGGGGGGGAAGGAGGGAAGGGGGTAAAGGAGAAAAGAGGCTCAGCTGAAAAAAAATAAAAGGGAGGAGGGAGGGAAGGAAGAGAGGAAGGGGGCTTTGCACATAAAAGAAAGGAGAAAAACGGGGAGAAGGAGAAAATAAAATGCAACGGAATACATGCAAGGCGCGAGGGAGGGGGGGAGGGAGGGAGAGAGGGAGGGAGGGAGGGAGGAAAGGGAAAAAAAGAGGGAGGGAGGGAGGAAGCGCGAGTCCGAGGACAAGGGAAAAGCGGCGCTAAGAAAAAAAACACAACAATAATATAATAATGAATAAATAATGATAGAATAAAATTGAAAAAAAGAGAGGGGAGAGAGAGAGGGAGTGTGTGAGGGGAGAGAGAGAGAGGGGGAGTGTGTGAGGGGAGAGAGGAGTGTGAGGGGAGAGGAGGGGAAAGAGAGAGAGAGTGAGGAGGGAGGGAATGTGTGAGGGGAGAGGGAGAGAGAGTGTGAGGGGAGAGGGAGGGAGTGTGTGAGGGGAGAGAGAGAGTGTGAGGGGAGAGGAGGAGGGGGAGAGGAGCAGTGCGGGGGCTGTGGAAAAAAAACTGGGAGAGTTTGTTGCAAAAGGCGGCGACGACCGACTGTGTGTCTGAGTCTCTCCCTCTCTCTGACTGACTGTGTGAGGCTGTGTGTGTGTCCCCCTCTCTCTCTGCCCTGTGTGAGGGTGTGTGTGAGGGTGTGTGTCCCTCTCTCTCTCTGCCCTGTGTGAGGGTGTGTGTGAGGGTGTGTGTGTCCCCCTCTCTCTCTCTCTCTGCCCTGTGTGAGGGTGTGTGTGAGGGTGTGTGTGTGTGTCCCTCTCTCTCTCTGCCCTGTGTGAGGGTGTGTGTGAGGGTGTGTGTGTGTCCCCCCCTCTCTCTCTCTGCCCTGTGTGAGGGTGTGTGTGAGGGTGTGTGTCCCCCCCTCTCTCTCTGCCCTGTGTGAGGGTGTGTGTGAGTCTCTCTGGCGGCCCAGGGACTGACTGACTGACTCTCTCTCTCCCTCTCTCCCGCCCTGACTGACTGACTGACTGACTGACCGTGTGTGCGGGAGACTCTCTGGCGGCGGCTCCTGTTCACTCTGCGGATCCCGAGGCTAATAATACGCAAACGGCCATAATGCAAACACAGGGGCAAAGGGCGACTGACGTCATTAGCCGCAGCAATCGCTCTCCCCCTCCCCTCTCTGAAGCCCACCCCCCCCCCTCCCCTCGCAGTGGCCTCCTCCTCCCCCCTCTCTCTCTCTTCCCAACAAAAATGCATGAAAGCGTTTTTTAATGTTCCATTTTTTGGGGGAGGAGGAGGAGGAGGAGGGGGAGGGGGGGGTTTGGTTTGGTTGGTTGGTGGGAATATTAAAAAAAAATTCCGTGCAATCGCCCCGTTCGGGCGACGCAGCCGGAGAAAGGCTCCTCACTGACGTTTTTTTGCATTTCAGCTTTTGCAATTTAAATATGAGCTCCTAACCCCCCCCACACCCCCCCCCCGCCCGCCCGCCCCCCCACAGCCTGCCCATGGGCGGGGTTTGGTTTGGGTTTGGTACAGGAGGACCAGCGAGCTGTGTGCGGGGCGCGCGGTGGTACCTGGGAGCTGCAGTCCCCTCCCCGTCACTGCGCAGACTCGCTGCGGGGGGCCGCGAACTACAACTCCCAGCAAGCGCTGGCGGGCCGCAGAGCGCACGCGCAGGTCCCAGCGCACTGTCTCCCTTCAACCTCCGCTCAACCTCCTCTCCCTTCCCCAGTTCCGCAGAGCAGACAGCGCCACCGTGCCGCAGCCAGCGGCAAGTGCAGCTTGTGCCCCGCTTGTCCTCAATGCTGTCACTTCAGATCCAGACATTTGAAATAAATAATAATGATAACAATAATAATAATCATAATAAATAAATACCTGGGAGCAAACGAGCTGGTCTCCAGGATAAACTGCTTCATCCACAAAATATACAGTCAATTCACTTTACAGTATATTCTGTGAAGCGCTTTGAGACGTCTCGAAGACGCGATAATAATAATAATAATAATAATCCTCGCATTTGATATAGCGCTTTTCACGTCAGGAGGACGTCCCAAAGCGCTTCACAGAACACACTGTAAAGTGAATTGACTGTATATTTGTGGGCGAACGCGGCAGCCAATTGCGCACAGCAATGTCCCACAAACAGTCGTGGATTGAAAATGACCAATTTATTATTGTTTTGGTTTTGGAGGGATTATTATTAGGCTCTGTGTGGAGTAAGGAAACATGCCCAAGGTTTCGCCCTCTGCCTGGAATTGAACTCAGGTCTCTCACTTGCAAAGCGAGTGCTCTAACCACTGAGCTACAGGACTCCACAAAGGCGCTGTACCGAATTCAAGGATTATTACTAACACATTTACAAAACGTGTTCCCACCCCTTTATTTGCTTTCCAAGACACCATAACAACAACAATTTGCATCTATATAGCGCCCTTCACGCCGGGCGGCATCTCTGAGCGCTTTACCGCAAAGACGTGGAGAGAAGAGTTTCTCCAGGTGTCCTGGCCAATGATCGTTTGGATAAAAACCAAAATTGGTCACTCACTTAATGGATGTTGCTGTGCGCTCTGGGACGCTACCCGGCACGAAGGGCGCTGTACAAATGCAAGTTGTTGTTGTGTGCAAATTGGCTGCCGCATTAACGTACAAAGATACACAGTCAAAACGGTTTTCATTTTACAAAAGTCATCCGCAAAGCAATGTACTAATACCATATTAACCAGCGGAGGTGGAGTCTGGAACAACAACAACAACATGCATTTATTCAGTGCCCTTCACCAGGGCAGTGTCTCGAAGATCTAAAAACAACAAGCTGCTCGCTCGAGATTCGTTGGATTTCTTCTCTTTGCATTCCAATTCCTAACAGTGTGAAAAGCCACTCGCGAAGAGGTGGCTGGTCGAGCCAGCAGAAAACTAAGATTTCAATCCCAGGGTTTGCACCAGCACTGGATTCCTTCGCCCTCGGCTACAGAGTGGCCCAGCACCATGGTAACATTCCTTCAATTCCCGAGTCTGCGAACAATGACGAGTAAGTTCGCTTTGCACACAAAACGTTCAGGCCGAAGGAAGAGAGCGTTGTGTAAGAATCCTGTTCCTGTTCTCCAATGTGGGCATTCTTCACATGGAGGCAAATTAGAATAATAATTCTTGCATTTGATATAGCCCCTTTTACCCCGTCTTCGAAGCGTCTCAGAACGCTTCACAGAATAAGAATTCACTGTAAAGCGAATTGACTGTAAATTTTGTGCGTGAGGAGCGGCAGCGGTTGCTATATAAGTGCAAGTTATTCTTGTTGCTGCAGTCTTAAGTCAAATTTGCCTTCAAAATAGAGTCACTAGTCTTTACAGTAAATCCTGAAGTGTTTTGAGGGCAATATATCAAATGCAAGGATTACTAGAATTATTATTTACTGTTAATAGTTTAATATATTCTTGGTGCATAGCTCTCAGCTTTTTAAAGACTAGATCAGACCCTTCTATCTCTTCTCTAGTGAAAACAGGTACAGCCTTGCGACTCTCTCATAATTCCCAACTCCAATTGTTCAGTTTAACCTTATTGGTGAGGATGTAATGTAAAATTGAAGGACAGTGCATTCTGGTCCCAGACCCCAAATCCATAGGCGCTTAAGTTTACCAGTTTGTAACAGACATTAATGCCATTGCAAATCCAGTTGATTAAAAGCGTAGCTGCAGATAACATGATCTCATTAATGTGCACCTTCTAAAATAGCGTGTTGCTATAGTAACCGATGTCATGGATAAACTATAAGTTCTGAGCAGTTTCATTACCGCCCCCCCACCACACCCACTGTATTGCCATGATGTTAACATCTGTCAAGGTGAGGGTGTGTTTGCCGAGTTGGTTGACCCTGAATACCTTGTTAATATGTAACTGACTGGCCATTGATGTTTTAGGCGCTGAAGAGGTTGTGATGTAGCTAAGCACTATGGTGGGAAGAGTACAGCAATGAGAATCAATGTTGGATTTTATCCCCCAGATAAAATTAGGCCATCCACCTCATGACTATTGCCTGGTCCAAATTGTTTGCCACATTAATAATAATAATAATAATAATCCTTGCATTTGATATAGCGCTTTTCACGTCGGAAGGACGTCCCAAAGCGCTTCACAGAATATACTGTAAAGTGAATTGACTGTATATTTGTGGGCGAACGCGGCAGCCAATTGCGCACAGCAATGTCCACAAACAGTCGTAGATTGAAAATGACCAATTTATTATTGTTTTTGGTTTTGGAGGGATTATTATTAGGCTCTGTGTGGAGTAAGGAAACTTGCCCAAGGTTTCGCCCTCTGCCTGGAATTGAACTCAGGTCTCTCGCTTGCAAAGCGAGTGCTCTAACCACTGAGCTACAGGACATTCGCCCATGAATTACAGTCACTACACTTTACAGCGATTATTTGTGAAGCACTTTGAGATGTCTGCCCACCGTTTTAGAGGTGACATTGTTACTATTGGTATCTGCTTTGCTCCTTTCTTCTGTTGTGTTTTTCCTGGTCTGTACGGTCACGTGGCTATTCTTCTTGTTGATCTTGTCGTCAAGATTGATTGCAATCACTTGTGTTTCCAAGTTTCTCTGAATGAAAAGTGTGCTGTAGTAGGAACGAGTTTTACGAGGGACCGTTCCTGGTTACAATGCTGCTGCGTCAGACTGACTGAGGGCTTGGACCTATGTTCTGGCACTGTGTGGAGTTGGCTTGCTTAAAGGGCTGATCCTTGCTATACCCAAGCCAATTGTAACTGGGCCAAATGGGTTACAGTTCCAGTGTTCAAGTTTACAAATACAAGAGCTGAACTTTGGAGGCACAAATACAACTTAAGAGCTTTTTGTTGCTGTCAGATAAAAATAATAATCCTTGTATTTGATATAGTGCCTTATTGCGTCTTTGAGATGTCGCAAAGCACCTCCAGAATATACTGTAAAATGAATTGACTACATTCCGTAGGCGAAACACAACATCCAATTGTGCAAAGCCGTGGACTGAGTAACCACATTACCCCTTCTGTGCAATCTTTGGTAGCAATCGAGAGAAACAATGACTGGGATAAAAATTGTCTCCAAGCCTCATAATGATAAAAAAACGGAGCATGAAGATGTGTCTGAACATCACATTGACGCTCCTCGTCCAACACAACATCTGAAGGGATTCTGCTCACTTGCCTTCAGGGTTACGTTGAAGCTTCCATGACTGTAAATAGTGCACCTTATGTTAGGAGTGGTCTCATTGGGTCATCAGCCAGATATAGTGGCTGCCCAGCTAGTCCGAAGCTGGCTGATCCAAAGATTGAATTGGAATCAGTCCAATTCTCTCTCTACAAGAACAAGAGCCCAGAACTACAAATGAGAAAATAAGGACTTAAAATTTCCTAGGCTGGCAAAGAAAACAAAGACCTCAATAATTCATAGTAAAAGATATTAAAGAATCAGGAGCAATAGAATATTTCGTGACAACCAACTTGTATAAAGAGGAATGCACAATAAATATTTTGCAAACTAGAGCACGCTCTAAACCGTCCACTGGCTTGAAGTCACAGTTTACTTGCCAAATTACTGGAGTTTGTCCCAAAAGCTTTTCTCTGGGAAGTATTTCAGAGGTGATGGATTACCAGATGAATTTTATAAGAAGCTTAGCCCCCACAGGGTTGCTGAAAGCTGTTTAAAATATTTGCTGAGGTTAAAATAAGTGATATTTCTGCTAACTTTTAATAAAACTATAGCAGTTGGCTAAATTTAGGAAAGATCTTTAACCATATCAGTTCTTAACCTGGATTTAAAAATATTGTCAAAGTGCTTCTCAAAGGCTGGAGAACGTGCTGTTCACAAGCTGCTGGTGGCAAGTTGGGACTTTATAACAGGCACAAGGAAATGTCTCCAAACTGTGAAAGTGCTCACTGCTAAACCCTTTTAGTTAAATAGTGCTATATAATGAAGGGAGTTTCTCTCTCCCGATACCCTGGCCAACAATTCCCCCCCACCGAATAAAATTGGTCACTCACTCAACAGCTGTTTGTGGGACACATCTGTGCGCAACTGCCTGATGCATTTTGCCCACAAAATACACAGTTACTCCAGAATATCCAAGGATACATTTTACAGTATATCATGCAAAGCACTTTGAGCCATCTCAATGATTTGATAAGGCACTATAATAATCCAAGAATTATTATGATTATCTGGCGTTGCTATCAGTACAGATATCGTAACATCTCTAGTGCAAGTAAATACAGTATGGTTGGCTGATCTTATCAATAGCCCAACCTTTGTTTATTCAGAGGCTAACTACTGTGTAAAAGCAAATGAACAAACCCAATACTTGAGTTTAACGTGAAAACACCAGAAAAGGATATAGTGAGATGCCCTTAATTGAGTACATCCTGAAACCGTTTCTGGACTGTGTGGATAAAGACAGAACATCTGTTGTAGCTGCTTTATAAAGTTTATTTAAGAGCATTTACAGGGAAGTGTTATGGTTGCACACCTCCAAACAGGAGGGACATTTCTAAATTTTGATTAAATACAGGCTGTTGTAAGATGCAAAGGTGTTTGTAGGTCACTTAAATAATATTTTCATTTCCACTCTGAAATCGTGGGACCCACAAAATCCTGTAGAACATGGAAGCATAGGAACATTCTTCCACCATACGCCGTCATCCGTACCTGTTCCCTTTTCTAGACGCTCTTCATTTAAAATACACTTCATAAAAATCAAGTTAACATGAAAGATTATTATGTGGACATAAACTGAAATGACAAACTTCAGGGTTTAGTTCTTGAAAGTGCAGTGCTTACTGAAGTTTTGGCCATTTGTTTTTTTGCCTCAATATTGTAAAATCTATTAGCAGCTGATATAACATTTGTTCCAATTCCAGGTCATCTGGATAAATATATTTTGGAAGAAACTTTTGTAGTGTTCCAAAGCAAAATAACACAATACTGTTCACTGGGTTTAACATCAATTTGTGAATCTATAAGCAAACAAATGTGGGATATTTAGAAAGAGGGTCATGCTTGTTTTAAATATTTCATTTATGATTGAATTCCAATATAGTTACGCACTCAGGAGGTGACACAGCACTATGCTTAAGAGGATCCAAACCAGACATAGACATACACATGTATGTCAATTGCACATGGAAATTTCCATGTCTGAAAATTCTATGCACTCTCTCCCCCTCCGGAGGGACGCACTGCAGTTTGCCAATACAGGGCTAATATATAAAGGCGCCTCCATCACAGACTGGTTGGGCTGAATGGCTCGTTTCCGTGCTGCAAGGCTCTATGTAATTATTAAGATGAAAGTGGTCTTTGACTTATAGTAATAAAATATTAATTTACAACAACCTCCATCTATTAATATGATGTTACTATTATTGTCCCACCAGCCCTGAGCTGTTATTTATAACCAGAAACAATCATGGTTTAAAAAAACAATCAAATGTTTAAGATTTATTATACCTTCTCAATTTTCAAGTAGAAATGTTTAAGACCGTTCATATATAACCACCTTAAGGAAGTATGGAAAGTACAGTAGTATTAAAAGTTGGGAGCACACACGCTCAAAATGGTGGAATGAGTTGATCCAGAGAGTAGCTAAGTCACAGAGATCAGGAAATCCCAGTCTTCAACCCCCATGGGTTGGAAGAGGAGAAAAGAAAAATCACCCTTCATTTCTGCTCCAGATCACAGCCTAATGACCTGGTATGTATGGTGTGGGTGGTGTGTGTGGTGGGGGTGCACTGGTTGATGGCAGGTTCACTTCTTGGTTGCAATTGAGTAGTCAAGGCTCACATACACTCTTCCATAATTGCCGCTACGCCAATGTATCAGAGGGCGACTGACTCCTACAAGAATTGAAACCCCCACCCAACCAGAAGGGGAAAAAAAGGAGTCAACAACCTTCGGGGGGTGGGGGGGAGAAGGGGCAAGAATATTGGCAAGAGGAAGAAAAAAAAGGGAACGCTCATTTAATACAGAATCAATATAGAAATAGGTTATTAAAATTTACGAGACGGTGACTAACTTTTTAAACCAATCGTGTTCCCCTTTCGTAGTGAATAAAGATGGGGCTAAGGGTCATCTCAGCTATACGGTAGGTCTACTGTGACAGAATGTTCGTGGCGTTTAAAATGCGCAAACCCATAAGTGTCACTTCCAGTGCAGGAGTCAGCTGCGAAGTTTCTGAAAGGAGTTAAGTGTTTTGTAGCGTTGAAAATGGGAGTTTTAGACGAGATTGATATATATATTGGTGATTGGCAGCCTGTAGCTACCACTGAAGTTGGCTGCAATCTGTAACCACATCTTGTAGTGCGTGTCAAAGCAATGGTCAGAGTCATTGCTTCAAATCACCTATTGTGATGCCAGGGTGGGGCTGTAAAAAATACTTCTCAGAACAAATATTTAACATTAAACTCAAACGGTAATTTTTTTTTAAAAAGAAGATTGTACAAAATAACACCAGCTATACAATAAACAAATGTTCAAACATGTGCTATCTACATTCAGCTTGTTCCAACAGGAAAATCTAATAAATTAAAGGACAACAGAGTTAAGGATCGTCAGTTTCAGAAATCTTTAAATACATTTTCCTCAGAAAATAAAACGAGAGGTATCCATTTGATATACAGAGGATAAGACGTTTCCATAGCAGCAAGCAGTGGCACTTTCCACTTGGGTTACATTAAGAAATAAGACAGTTTGTCAACATAAGAGTAATGAGTATAAAGGAAGTGCAGTTTTAGTGTAGGAATGGTACACTAAGGAATGGTGGGTGTTACACATTAAAAACAGAAGAAAGGTAAATTTCATCTCCCTGATCTAACACGTGTTCAGACTGAAACGACAACAGGAGACAAACCTTACTCATGCTCGTTCGTTTTTCTTCCTGCTGATAAGTTGCTGCATCTTCTCGGGGAGTGTGTTTATTTGGGAACAAGACCACGAGACTGTGGATAGAGCTGGGATCCTGCCCCAGCTGAGGAAGAGGGGCCAATTTTTTTCCCGCTTTTAGGTCTGCTGAGGACAACAGAGAATTGGTTTCAATTCACATAGTAAATTCTTCTGGGATATTGTGCAAACAATACAAATACATAATACAAAATTATATTTGTATAGCGCCTTTCACGTCAGGAGGACGTCCCAAGGCGCTGGGACATGGACAGAATCGTGAAACGAGGAGCAGTATGTATCGATTTATATTATATTACACTTTGGCCACAAAAATTGACTTTACTATCCTGTGAAACGCTTTGAGACGTCTCAACAATGTGATGAGGCGCTATATCAATCGCAAGGATTATTATTATTACTATCCAACAGACACACACATCTATATCAGAAATGTGATTCATGAACAATCTCTCTCAAACTTGTAACAGGCTCTGTATAAACTTATACAAACTCTTACATTGTTATGTTTTACTTAAAACTGTTGTGAACAAGAAACAAAAGATTTACACAGATGAGTAAAGTCATTCAAGTATTTGGCTTGGTAAAAAATAACAGAAAAAAGGGTGTGGGTTATTTCTTAATCTTGTTCTTGCCCATCAGTCACACAAGCTCATTTTCCAATAAGGGTCACTATTCATTTTATATTTATATTCACTATATATTGAACGCTATAGTCAATATCAGATCAGAGCTCGGTTGGGATAAAAGTCATCCCTGCCCTTCCAGCACTTTGTGTGCGGTTCAAAACTGCACAGGATAGTATCTTTCCCAACTGGTGTGATTGGGGAGTCCAAGGTGAGTGTTTTTATTAGAAAGTAAATGTGCACTTTGAGTGAGATTCTTCCTACACTCACCTGGATTTAACTTTCCTGGCACTTGCACCAACACTGGCACAAACACTAGCGCTTCGCTGAGGATCAAAAGTAGAAGCATCTACTTGGAGTTCATCTTCATCCTGCAAAGCAGCTTCCAACGCAGCCTGCACCTTCGGAGCAATGGCTGGCCCTTCATAGTCTCGGGTGGTACGGCTGGGCATGTCCAGCTCTAACATCAAGATGTTCTCAGCCTTGAAGGATAAAAGCACGGAGTTTAACGAACAACAAGGTTGGCAAAACACAGTAACTGAGCAGTATCCCAATAACTTCTCTTCTTTCTCGGAAGAAACCAAGGACGTCTCAGGCTTTGGGAGTTGGGAAATGCTTGACTTGCAGAAAGCTGAGTGAACAGCGTGACAGGTCACAAAGGAAGCTATTGACCTTACTGGATTAGTTACAGTTCTGGAATGCTAACACAGAGAAACTCTTTGACTTCCAACTCTTTAGAGAGAACAGTCAATGTTCCAGTGGTTTTTAGAAAGCTTTTCCCCCCTCCCCCCCGATTGTCTCATGTTCTTGAAAAGTCCTTGAAATTAAATTCTCAGCAATTCCTCGCTCTCTGGGTGCTGTTCGGATTTCCTCCGTCACGATTAATGTCTACCTTTAACTCCAGACGGCAGATTGCACAAACTACCTGTCCTTCCTAAACACATTACAGAGTATGCATGGTTACTGTTCAAAGGACATCCTGACTTTAATGGCTGACCAGATAGTGGCCTCTCTCCTAGAAGCATTGTTCAAACTGTCTCTTCTTTCCTTTGCAGACTCTAAACATGTTCATTTGAACCTCTAAATCATGAGGTACCAGATCAGGTCAGAGTCTTTGTTACTCAGTTTAATAAGAACTGCAGGTAGCTTGTTATCTTACATTTATACACGGAGTGAAATATTCTCCACATCACTCTCTCATGGTTTTATCCACTGTTTAATGAATACAAATTGTTCATCCATGTTAATTTAGATTCAACAAAAAGATTGTAAACTGTGGAAGTACGAAGACGATGCTCTCACAAAGGAGTGTCAGAAGACAAGGCTGTTAACTTCCAAAAGTTTAGCAAGCGTACAGATTGTAACGGTTACATATACAAATATTACCGCTCAGTTACAGAAGCAGGTAAATCATTTCTGAAACACTAACAAACTCAGTGACTCGGCAATCTAGCTCCAATTCAGCACTGAACCCCACAACAAGACATTGTTCAGAGCGTCCCCGTGTCTGCACATTATTTACTCACTCTGTATCTGGGGTCTGATCTCATCATCAATGCCATTCTTGCGTAGTGGCTAAGTGGTCTCTTATACCCAACTGCTGACACTGGTCGCTTCATCATCTGCTGATTGCTAAAAGCATTACAGTGGGATAGATTCAAACACTGGGCATGGACAAAGCACTGTATAAATGTGGCTAACGCAACCTTCATCAATATGAGTTTTGCAACATTTTGAAGAGCACTAGGATATTGAGCGCAGCATTTTAATTATATATATTATACACACTTTTTTTAAAAAATGTGGTCACTCGATCCACGACTGTTTGTGGGACGCTGCTGTGTGCAATTGGCTGCTGTGTTTCGCTCACAAAATATAGTGAATTCACTTTACAGTATATTCTGGGAAGCGCTTTGAGACGTCTTAAAGATGTGATAAGGCGCTACATCAAATGCAAGGATTATTATTAAGGATTATCATTACATATTTAAGAAAACATGCTTCCAGTTCTTTGTCCTCATGTGGGACTCTCCTAGCAATTCTCCTTACTAATTTCCATTTTCCCCATTAATATGTTTCTTAATTTTAATTTACCTTGCTTCAGTATTAATTTCCAATAGTCCACTTGTTGACTAAAATGTTCATACAAACACAGTTACTATTTTCTTCCTGCTTCCAGTGGTTGTGGGTGAATGGATATAAAGGCACTTGGTACATTTCTGTTTGAACCAGTAACTCATTATTTTAGGATGCTCCCTATTTTATAGATCTTTCAGGATTGCGCTGTAAGAACATTTTAAAAGTGAAATGAAATAGCATGCAGACAACAAGAATAACTTGTATTTATCTAGCGCCCTTCACATGGGGCAGCGTGTTGGAGCGCTAATCCAAAGTTGCAGGAAGCATGCTACAGAACAGATTCACAAAGTAAGAGTTCTACAATATTCTGAGCTCCTAATTGCTGTGGAATTCAACCGATGTGACAGGAGACCGAGCAATATGGAGAGCACCCGCCAGACGAGATAACAACCGCTCTTAATTAAATACACAATTTTCAATCAAAATAAAACAGATGCTTTGTACATTTGTGTCTTGAATTTAATCATTGAAGCGTAGATTAGATCGATTTTGGCAAAGCCAAGCCCTTATTAACGTTCGCCCTGTGATTCATTTTAACACAGATGAGATAAGGTAACATGAGAACTGTACCATACCCTTCAATTCGTGTGATAGGCTGTGTTTTCCACTGGTCCTCCTCTTCATCAAAGTAAGCTCGGTTCATTATTTTATTCTTTTCTTCCAATGGTATGAAGTTCTCAATTATAAGGTGCCTATGCAACAGAAAAAAACATCAGTCTTTTAGTCATTCCAGTACAAATTAATGGTATACGTGAATTGAACATTTTTTTTACATCAGTATCCTTTGACAATAGCAAGAATTTATCCACTAATGAAGGTTTCCAAGGAGATGCATTTCTTTGTGATTTCCTGCACTTCCTATTCTCACATCGGAAATAACCCAGTGCGTGGAGATTCAATGACCAGAGGAATCTGTTTAATATGGAGTTAAAAATAGGCACTGTTTGCGGCTTGACTAACCAACCGGTAGTTTTGCAAGCTGGGGCCTTAAGGTTCGCCTGCAAAATATACAGTGAATTCACTTTAAAAGTATATTCTGTGAAGTGTTTTAAGACGTCTCGAAGATGTTAAAACATCAACAACTAGACTAAAACAACAAGTAAAGGGCGCACTATCAAATGCAAGGATTACTATTAATCTGAGACAAGCAATTTTATCGCTGCAAAAATTTGCAGATGAAGAAATAATAATAATCGTTGCATTTAATATAGTGCCTTTTCATGTCAGGATGTGTCAAAGTGCTTTGCAGAAACACAAATTGCATATATTTAGCGCCTATCCTATCCGGAGGTCATCCCAATGTGCTGCAAGTATAATACTAGTGCAGAGTTAATTCAAAAGATGGAAAGGGTGCTAAAATACACAAGCTGTGCTCTCAAGTATAGGGCCGAGTAGTAAAAATGGTCTCTGGTAATTATTCTTGATGCACATCAAGAAAGCAATAAATCCATCAAAAATGGTACTAATTATTTTTGGGGAATAGTTAAATCTCTCCTCGAAGTATGATTTGATTGTCATTATCTCTTATCACCTTCATTTTCCTTCTCCATTATCAGGTACCTACTTAAGTTTGAGTTCTCTGGTCAGTTCGTTCTGTGTTTGTTCCAGTTCTTGTCGCTCTTTGATGTGTTCCTCTTGCAGATCATGAATCTCAGCTTTCACCGCCTGGAGCTTAGCAAATAACTAACAGATTGTTTTTCTTAGTATTGAATGTACTGCATACGGAAAAGCCAGAATAATCCAAAGTAGTTATGGATAAGTGAATTGAACAACTTTTTTATATTAGTAACCTTTGCCAAGAGAACGGCTTTACTGCATAGATATAATAACCATAACCTGAATGACAACTCACGGCAATAAGATATCACTAATCTTCCGATGTAGCCTGAATGCGGTCGCTAGTTAAATGACTGTTGTACCATTCTATCCTCAGATATAATGTAGAATTAGTGACTCAGTTCTTGTACTGTGTAGTATAACCACAATATTCTATATAATCACACAGAATACTTTGCATCAAACAACTCTTTTGTACTAATTTATTGTACTCAGTTTTGAAGAGCTACTTAAAACCACAGGCACTCCAAGTTCCCTTGCTTTAACAACACTTTAAACAAAACAACAGTTATCTTTTTTATAGCTCAATTTCGATGTTGAAAGGGCCGTGCATCAAATTAGATTCAACATACTGAACATTGGGAGAACCCGATGACACAGAATTACTTGCATAGATTAGGACCCCTGGTTTCATAGAACCTTGTAAACACATCGGAACAGATGTTACTATAATAGCATACACAGGAGAAAACATGTGCAATACGTTATACATGCACGGTTTTGATTTGTATGTGAATTACAGTACGCTTTATTGGACCAGACATGCTTCATTTATTATATATATATTTATTCTTATACATTTAATAATTTCCCTCCACCAAACCCGTTTCCAATCCTATATACGTACTCACAATCAACTTATTTTGAGCTAAAATGTACATGTATATATTATATAAATAAAACCTACCCTCTTAAAAACTCGTTTTAATGCATAGTAAGTATTTCTTTTTCTACATATTTTAACTGTTTTGTCTCAGTCCTTGGGGCTGCCTGTCTGTTTGGATTCACATTTGTTTTAGCAGTGTTAAATTAAGGTCAACTACTATGCTCCAAGTTGCAAGATAATCCTACCCACAGATATTTTTTTTCCCGACCCTATTGCTTTTGTTGCCTGTTTCTAAATACTCAAGCTGTGCCACGTGTAAACCCAACTGAGCTTAACTCTGATGGAAGCAACCCCAATGACAAAGGCAACTTCCGGCAAGATCTTGATCCGAATGCCAAATGTAACTGATGCACTTATTCATCCAAAAGTCACAATATTCAAGTGTTAATTGAGACATTATTTAATTACAGTAAACATCCAGCTGGTCTCGATTTACACCCAGGCTTTTATTTTGTACAAGTATGAGGATAAATCACTATCTTGGAATTGGTGGCAGGGAATACCTTCATTTCTAAAAACCCATATAAAGAGCAAAATCAGAATACGCCATAGATCTGGGTAATTTTACATGTGGCAACTTTTCGTCCAGCCTTTTCATGAGTTATTGCATTTCATCTTCACGGGTAAGAGACTGAAGTATCATATACGAAGAGAAAAAATTAGAATGCGTGGAGAAAGGACAGATTGGCATCAGAGAGCTGGCACAGGCACTTAAAAGACCCATCTGTGTGGTAAAATTCTACGGCTGTGTGTGAAGTGTGCTGTCTGGAAGCGCTACATTTTAAGCAATGTAATACGTTTTCTTTACATAAACATATCCGCATCGATATGGCACAAATTGGATTTACAGAAAAGTGTGAAAGACACAGGCCAGAATTTGCATTTTTTTGTGGCTTGTACTAATTCAAATCTTGCAAATAATTGGTTTTGCGTATATAGAACAAAGTCTGTGAACGGAAAGATAAGGAGTATATCTAAGAAATACACTGTTAATTAAGGGCTCACTCCTGCAATCACAATCAGCTTAATCTCACAAACACGTATTTATATTTAATATTGATTTGCACTACTCAGAGTTTTGATCCACGTTCACTACCTTTTTCAGCTTTTTGGTTTTGACATCCACCTCTTGCTGCAGAGAGCTGTACGTTTCCTTCAGTTCCAGTGTCTCCTCGTCCCGAGTCTCCACTTGCTGTTGCATTTCGCGCTCCCGACGTTTCTTAACAGAGCAGCGAACACAGAGGAATGAAGAAAATCTTGAACATTTTAATATCTTTAATCATTTCATCTGTTTTTTTGCGCATTACGTTTCTGAGGCTACCTACATTTATAAAGAGAGAAACTGTGGCTCAGTAGTTAAGAGCACTCGGCTCGCAAACGAGAGACCCATGTTCGATTCCCGAGTAGGACGAAACATTGGGCAAGTTTCTTTACTCCACACATCACTGATTACCTAGCAGTAAGTAGGAACCTGGTTGTTAGTCGATTGGTGGATCGCTTTGCCCGGGGTAATAACCCTTAAAAAAAAATGAAATAAGAATAAATTGGTCACTCAATCCACGACTGTTTGTGGGACACTGCTGTGTGCATTTGGCTGCCGAGTTTCGCCCACTTTACAGTACATTCTGCAAAATGCTTTGAGATGTCTTGAAGACTTGATAAGGCGCTATATCAAATGCAAGGATTATTATTATAATTGTTTACAAGGGATGGCTAAAATTATTAGTACTGATTCTACAACAAAAATAACAACTTTACATCAAATTTGCAAACTTAAAATTAGTTAAAACAGCAGAATGCCGGGTTACTTGACCTTCAGGCTTTCTCCCCTGTATTTCTCCTCTACTTTCAATGTTTTTAGTGGTTTCCGTGCAGCTCATCAATATATGAAGCACTAGCAAGTTGCACCGTGCAAGATAAGGACTTAAATGTTTTATACGGCACCATAAATAAATAAATAAGATTATTTAGACACCAGTGTTATAAGTTACGTCTGGGGTGTGGGGTCAACCTAATCCTTGTTAAGCCCCAGATAGTAAAAGTCATGAAACTTGGTAATCAGCTTCCACTGAGGTTAGGGTTCCTCTGGTGCTAGGGTCTCGTGGCACTTTGCTCAAGTGTCCATTATTAATGTGACAGACCTGACAGTGCGTGTGAAGAGACTGGATTGCAGAGATGTCACAGCTGAGCCCAATCCTCTCCTCACTTAAAGCACACGTACAATATCCCCTTCCCCCTTCTTGCAGGTCCAATTTTGAGAGCCATAGCATGATCTATCAGATGACTTCCTCGGGTGGTGCGTGCGTGATGGCCAGAGCAATTGATCTGTAGCGGGAGCTAGAGCCTCAAGTGATTTGAATTGCAAGGGGTGACATTGAAGTGCCTGGGGCCAATTCACTTTCAGACAGACGAGCAAGATAATTGCTTTGTCATTAGTCAATGTGTTTGGATACTGCAGTATCACAGTGCTATTTTCCGTGTATTATAAAAGTTTATTTTTGTACAGCAGACGGGATGGACAGTCAAAGTTGATGACTTGACAGCTGGGCGTTCTGTTTCTGTGGCTCAAAGTCATTTTGATTCATTCTCATCAGTCTCTAGTTTTTACCTGTTCTGCAATTTCATGGCGTCTCTGCTCCAGGATTTTCTGCTGTTCATTGGTGTGATCCACAATGTTCTTGCCTCCGACCAGAAGTTTGCTCTCCATGGCCTAGTGAATCACAATGGACAAAGTCAATGGTTTGTAGTTCAGATATGTGCACATGCAATGCAAAGCTTCAAACAGCTCCTATCAAAAGTGAAAAACATCCTATTTGAAGCCTGGGGATTGTTATAAAGGCTGCCCGTTAAGGCTGATAATTTCTATTAAAGACCCATAAAATATTGTGTTGCTTGATTCACCTACAACACACAGCCACTGCATTTTACAGTATATCCTGTGAAACGCATCCTCCCGATGTGAAAGGCGCTACATGAAATGCAAGGATATTATTATTGATAGTTTAAAAAGTACATTCAATGCTTTCTAATCATCAGCAATGAACAACTATTTACTCCTAGTACAGAATATTTGGACTAAATTTATTTTCATTCTTTTATTTCACTTTTCAAATTGTTGCTACGATTTGATTTAAATTGTTTCTACAGGCAGGAAGCGGAAAACCATATTTTGTGCCAAATCCTTTAAGGTATTTTGAGTGTTGCTCCCAAGATGGAAGTTAATCTATCACAATCTGTGCAATTACAGCACTGATCCACAGCCTGCCTTCACCTTTGCTGTCAATCCCACTGAAATAATTAATCAAAACTAATGTGACTATTACAATCCAGAGATTTCCAGACTTCCCCCAAATCGTGGGTCATTGCTATTTCAAAACAACATCCAAACTTAAAATTGACCTGTAAATAAAGCTACTTTTAATAAAATCAGCAGATTTTATGTCCAGTGCAATGACTAACCTAGTCAGCTAATCTGTGCCAGCTGCATCCTGCAAAACAGCAATATGACAGCCAACAAATGTACAGTTATCAATTAAATAATGTCAATTAATCTAAACAGCTCATCTATTAAACCTGTCACACAAAAGAATTCTTCATTGTGAACCGTGCCAAACACGACATTCTTCAAGATGATAAATGGAAAAGAAAGTCATTAGAGTCGCTCAAAATCCCAGGAGACATTTGTGCCACTTCTGGCATTAATAGCTGAACGTTTGAAGCATTATTACCTGGAATGATGCAAATGTGAACTGCTCTACAACCACGACAACAAGAAATTAAGGTTTCTTGACTTTGTCAATGTTAAGTCAGTTTCTTTTTCATCACAACTGAATTTTGTAGTATTGAAATTATACGTTCAAATTTGAGACCTATTTGGTCAGCCGTGATCTGTGTCCGACTACTTAATACACATCAGAAAAGATCGTCAATTTCAGCAACTATGCCCCAAAACGCTGGAACACTCTTCCTCTATCCCTCCTTCTCCATCTTTTTAATCTATATAAATGACCTGGACTTCAGTATACAAAGTACAATTTCCAAGTTTGCAGATGATACTAAGCCAGGAAAAGTAGTAAATGGTGAGGAGGGTAGTAGGTGAGGATGAAAAACGCTGCAAGAGGACATAGACAGACTGATAACATGGGCAGACACGAGGCAGATGACGTTTAATGTGGAGAAATGCAAAGTGATGCGTTTTGGGAGGAAGAATGAGGATATAATATAAGCTGATGGTACAATCTTAAAGGGTGTCAAGGCATTGGGGAGGGGGCAAAGGAGATTTACCAGGATGGTACCAGGAGGGATTTCAGTTATGAGGAGAGGCGAGAGAAGCCGGGATTATTCTCCTTGGAGCAGAGAAGGTTAAGAGAAGACTTAATAGAAGTTTACAAAATTATGAGGGGATTCGATAGGATGAACAAGGAGAAACTATTTCCACTGGCGGTTGGGTCGGTAGCCCGAGGATACCGATTTAAAATAGTTGTTAAAAGAAACAGAGGGGAGGGGAGGAGAAATTTTTCCATACAGCGAGTTGTTCGGATGTGTGAAAGGGTGGTGGAAGCCGATTCGATAACAACTTTTAAGTAGATAATTATTTGGGGAGGACAAGTTTGCAGGGCTATGGGGAGAGTGGGATTGATTTGGATAGTTCGTTTCAAAGAGCCAGCACAGACACGATGGGCCGAATGGCCTCCTTCTGTGCTGTATGTTCTGTGCTCTGGAATTCCATCACCAATCACTCCGCCTCGCCCCCTCCTTAGCCTCCTTCAAGTCCCGCCTCAAGACCCTCCTCTTCGACCATGCCATCGGCCACCCCCCTTCCCCTCCCCTCCCTTCTCCCCCCCACCACTCCCAGCTCGGGTCTGAAATGCTGTACTTTGTCCAATGCCTTGGGACATCCTCCCAACGTGAAAGGCGCTATACAAATGTAATCTTGGTACTGTTGTATGATTCAGATCACACCTTCCTATTCGACCGCGCCTACGGTCACCTCCCCCTGGCTTGGCGTCATCTCTGCCACTGTCGAGCGCTCTGGGACTCTACCCTGTGTGAGGGGCGCTATGCAATTGGAAGTTTTCGTTGTCGTCAATTGCATCCACGTGCAAAATATTAACAGGATCACTTAACCCTTGTCTCACTTCTAACAGCCACTGCAGAAGGTGGTTTCGCTAGCTGTGCAATTCCCACCTGTGCTCTGTTCAAAGCTCTCGGAAATGGGGGGGGGGGGGGGGGGCAGGAGGATCTACTCTAAACAGATTGTTACCAAAAGAAAAAGAGGAGTGTGATTTTTTGGGGGACCCCAACTTGCGTGGAGTGGGAAGTGTAAATCAAGGTTTATATCTCACTGGTGAACGTGGCTTACACAGCTCTGTGGATGCCTGACTGTAGGTTCAGTGGTGGAGACAGTGATTTTCTTGCGGCAATTTGAGCTATTTTATTTATTTATTTTTTTACACACTTTTCGATGCTTTACCTACATTTTTGTCTGTCTCCTTTTCATTCCCTGCCATTATAAGCCCAGTTTTTTTCACGTTTGGAAGTTTGACAGCCAGTGAGTTTCATTGACATTGTTGTAGCACCTGATACTTGCTGCTGGCAGTAACTTTAACAAATGTCCATATTGAAGTGCCTCTCATTTCTTGCCACTGGAGAGTGCTGTGGAGGAACAGAACTAGGTTGCAACCTACGGTACTGTCCGCTCATTTTTGTGCAAAAAGCACAGTGCCAGGAATTGAGCTATCTGCTGTTTCACCCACAAAACACACAGTCACTACACTTTGCAGTATATTCTGTGACGCCTTTTGAGACGTCTCAACAACATGATAAGGCGCTATATCAAATGAAAGTATTAGTATTATTATAAACATGGATAGCAGCAATTAAAGATGATTACAGTCCCATCTGCTGGCAAGAATGAGGTTCTACAACACCATGTGAATAGATTTACAAGACGATGTGATTTTCCCAGAACATGATCGGGCTTTTTTTTCTTGAGCCCGTTGAGATGTGAAAATGGACGAATATAAACATGAAATGTTAGCGATACATTTACTCCACAGTAAATAAATGAATACAATGAGAGTTTCACCCACAAAATACACAAGTCAATCCACTCTGCAGTATATCCTGTGCGGTGCTTTGAGACGTCTCGACGATACGATAAGGCGCTATATCAAATGAAAGGATAATATTATAGCCTCAATCCCTCTAACAGCCACTACCGCTCTACCAGATGTTAAACTTCTGTTTGACTCTTACCCCTCGTTCAGCAGATGAATCGAGAATTATTTTTATAAAATTACAAAAATAACAATGAAAAGGTTATTGCACAAATTGCAATACTTCACAATGTGATCTAAATATGAATATCATAATAACTACAGTCACCCTATCCAGTACGTCACTTTCATAGAAACAAACAGATCAAAAAGCTGTGACTGAGCACGACAGGCTACGATGACGTTGCCGTCAATAATGTTAAGTGAGAGCTTGAGTATAAGGGAAGAGAGCTTAAGAAAATGAAATCTGCCGTCCTAAAGAACACTGGAATCAGTAGGGTACTGCAGTATTTCAGCTGCCATTTATAATAATATTTGCATTTGATATAGCACCTTATCTCATCTTCGAGATATCTGAATGCTCTTCACAGAATATGCTGCAAAGTGAACTGACTGTATATTTTGTGGGCAAAACACCCACATTTATGTTCAATACGTAGGTAATGTAAAGGACGCTAACTGATTTAGGTTTAAATTTACACCACTGTAGTGCTGCATCACTGCCCTGTACAGAGCTATTTCTGAAGCCTACGAAGATTCCCACCAAAAGCAGCCCGTACAGTAAAGGCATTTTGCAAAATAAATTATTCAGTTTCTCTTGTCCAAAGCAAATCCTCGAGCTGTACGATTTAATCTGACAGCTGGCAACGAGCCAACACAAGTCAATTAGTGCAAACAGCCAAAATGGGGAAAAAACACATTCTGGGTGGCCTAATAGAAGATTTTGGGCATCATTGGAGTCTATGTAGTTTGATCATCACTTATCACAATGACAAACATACTTTGCATCCAATGTTTTTTAAATGTTTTTGTTTTAAAAAAAACTGCTCCTTTAAGAAACTGATTAAATCACCAATACTGCTTACAAAAAAGGTTTTAATGAAAATTTAAACCTGTGCTGCTTGTACAAGCAAAGATGATCAGATTTTGTGCAAATATAAATATTAATGTCCAGACTGTGATCCACTTGCAACTTTACGTGGTTGGATCTTTAACATTCATATCACCAATCTGTGTCCAGTTGCTTCAATTTACCAGTTGTCTAGTCAGTTACCAAAGCAATGGTTGCTCACCCCAGTAGTAATTGATAATATTAATAATAGCATTCGATATAGTGTCTTATCAAGTCAATTGCGCACAGCAATGTCCCACAAACAGTCATGTTTAATCCCTTAAAGTTGTTTGAAAACAGTGTGAAACCTATGACCCATACTTTTACTGTATCTTATTTATACAGTAAATTGAAATGCAGTGCAGACTAATTTCCATTGACCGGCTCAGTTTTCTCGTCTTCCCATGTTGACTTGGGGAAAGCAAGGCCCTTCCTTGTTTACATGCAATACACAGGAAAACGCCACTTAACCCCACATTACGGCTTCTGTGACATGGTACTTTTCAACATTTAGCATGGGGGAAACTTTTAAGCAGGGCTGTAAAGTATTACCAGTGACGGCTCGGGTCAATGAGGAACATGATACGGTCTGCCATACCTTGATTTTAGTGGCTAGTGTCTCCGAGGCTTCCCGCTCTCTCTGCACGTCCTCCATTTTTCTCTCTTTCTCACGGAGTAATTTTTGTTTCTCCTCTGCAACTAAGCTGTGGTCATCGAAAATAGCTTTCTTTTCTCTCTCCAGCTTCTCCTGCTGCGCTCTCCAGTATTCGGGCTCGTTTTTGTGAGATACATCCTCCTCCTCCCCGTCCCCATCTTCCTCTTCGATTTCCTCCCCTCCCTCTCCCAACTGCCTCCTTCGACTTTTCTTCTTCCGTTTGCCCACCCCTCGCTTCTCCAGCTGAGCTTTCAGCCGTGCGATTTCTTCCTGGAACTCCCTCAAAAGAGCATCTTTCGGGTCTTCGTTCACACGAGGTTTATTCTTAATGTTCTTAGCGCGATTTGCATAGCGTAGTGTTGTCAGAGTCTCTTCGCAGTTGTAGGAGGCCGGGCCGATGTTTGCCACCATCACTGTTTTGGCGTTACCCCCCAACGAGTCCTGAAGCAACCGAGTTAGCTTGGAATCCCTGTAGGGAATGTGAGTGCTCTTACCATCCACGAGTGCGGATATCACATTGCCAAGTGCTGAGAGCGAAAGGTTAATCTTTGTTGCTTCTTTTAACCGTTCTCCCTGGGCTCCAGTTTTAGCCTGTCGCTCACTGCCTGCAAGGTCGACCAAGTTCAGCTTTCCGACACGGATATGGTTTTCGCCGTCAAGTCCGATTTCGCTGCACTCGATTGTTATCACAAAGATGGCGTGGGAGCGAGAGCTGTGCTCATTCATGTTTGTGGACCCCACAGAGCGATTCTGATTGCCAACGTTCATCACGTGCTCAATTTCTTTGACGTTTTTGGTCACGAAAGAGGACAAGTCTTTGACGTAAACACCAGTGTCCGGCCGCTCTTTCAGCTCCAACCTTTTAGTTTGATCTTTTGAGAGCAAATCCTTGATCTCCTCTTGATAGATTTCAAGATACGAAGCCCTTACTAAGTACTGTTGATTTTGCGATCGAGAAATGTGCGTGAAAATGTGATCAAAAGAGTTTGGGATAACTCCTCTCCTCTCGGCATCTCCGCGGAGTCCCTCCATGGTGTAGGTTTTCCCAGTTCCAGTTTGCCCATATGCAAAAATTGTCCCATTAAAGCCGAGCAGCACAGAGTCCACAAGGGGCCGAAAGGTCTCATCGTACAGTTCTACCTGTTTAGAATTCCAGTCATACACAGAGTCAAATGTGAATGTCTTGGGTAATTCACTGGGATTTCCCTTGCGATTTTTCACCAAAATCTGACCGAGTTTCACGTCTATGTCAATAATCTTTTTGTGGCCGGCTGTGGTTTCTTTGCCGTTCATTGGTCGACACCGGACGACCACTTTAACAGATTCCGAGCTTTTTAACTTGGACATCGTGTTTTTTGACGAGACTCAGATGCTGAGAATTCTTTTGCTCGTGTGCACCACCAACCTGTGAAAGAAATTAACATCGTTAACACTCATGTGCTCCAATTAAACCTAGTCACGGTCCATTAAGCACACATTAATAACTAAACGCAACTTTAACTCAAAAAAATGACTCAACAGAAGGTTAGAGTACATCATTACTTCATGTATGATGTACTCCATGATAAGACTATCTAGTTATTATTTAGGTTGCTGGATTAAGTGATCAGAAATTAGCACAGTACTTAATACTCACATTATAGCTTTCCAAATCTGACACTAACCCCTCCTGGCCGAATTTATATGCGTTTAATACCTCAATATTGCGCATTTCCTATATTGTAAAAAAAAATTGTGCTCATGTGAAAATTATAAATCATAACCATTTCAACTTGAATTTTGTTTTAATGATTCAGAAGCTGTCCCATTAAAACCAGGCAGAACTGAATCCCGAAGGGACTGAAAGGATTTACCGTGCAGTGCCAGTGGTTTACAATTCCAATCACACACAGGGTCAATATGTGAATGTCTGGATCGACACAGTGTCGGCAGAAGAACAAGACATCAAACTGAAATCATAGCCCCGGCTACAGATTGCTTTGCCTCTGTGCTGAGCGCCAGTGGAACAATGCTGTGCCCAGGCACACTGCCACATGAGGCCTGAAGCACTACAAACTTTGCTCCGAGCCCCAGGTCCTTTTTAATATTCATCAAGCGCCAGTTCTCCCATCACTTCTTACCTCTAAGGCTCCACTCGATCATGCTTCTCATACTATTGACTTCTCGGGCCTAAGTATCTCCCGTAATTCAAAGACCTCATGTAATTCAAGATCTCAATTGCTAACAACGCCTAAACACAAGTCAGGCTCCAAGGTTTTGTACAGTTTAGGCTCCTAACCAGACATCTCCCCTCCACCCCGGAGTGTAGGTGTACCCCACCTTCCTGATAAAATGGGCGACCTACGTCCTCTTGCACATCACTTATGTTATTACAGTGAGCTAAGTGTCAGCTAGCTCCTTTATATTAGCCAATGCATACAAGGCTGGTAGTTATGCCGTGCAATGTCTACAAATTCTGTTTGAACGCTTGTTAAAATAGCATCAACAGGCTTCCACAGAGAAGGATTCAAAAGATTTTGCCAAAAGTGACACAACACCCAATCAAGTTTGACGACAGATCACTTACCTTACGTTTGCCACTTGATGAGCTACATAACAATCCCAATTAACATGGATACCCCTGTGCCCTCCAGCTCTTACGCCTTTACTCTAGATACTTCTTCCTCCCAAATCAAGAATTATCATGTATTTATTGCTCACCTAGTATGGATTTTCCTTGAATAGGAAATAGCTTGCGTGCCTACAGCCAAGAGTGTTGAATATTCACCAGCTGCCGTGACAGTGTGAAACAGTCAGGATAACGATAATCCATCATAAACAGTGGAATATTGAGTATGTGCAGATTTTGATTTAGCTGTGACATTTTTACACCCAAAATAGGTTGAATTGTGCCAAGTACAGGCTTGCTAGAATTAATACAAAAATCCTTACAGCTGCACTGAGGTCTTAATTTTAATACTGGGCAAAAGGATTCCGCACAGTAATGGATAAATCTCACCCTCAGTCTCAAAAACAAACTCCAGGAGTGAATTATCCACCACATTTTGCCATAGCTCAATCTGTCACTTGAAATTGTAATTCCATTACATCTCGGCTCCGTTCTCTGTTGGTTAAAACACCTAACTCACAGATCAATCATGCCAGATATAGAACACGACCCACTCTCCAGTAACCCACATTATATCATAATTAAGGACATTTAAAGGGCATCATTAACTCAATCTGTAAATATCATCAAACCAGAAATTAGGTCTGTCCCTTTCAGTTACTTTCTCGTGTCCCTTACTTGGACATACGCTGCAATGCTTTAGAATAAATTGTCTGAAAGCCTGAGGGTTTCCTAACATTTGTGTAGTTTTCCCATCTCAGTGGGGTACCAGGGAACGTTGCAGAAAAGCATTGTGCAGTGCTTAACATTGCTACCATACGATTACAATGGGGTAAGAGCGGGGGCGTGGGGTTGGTTGGATAGGTCTTTCAAAGAGTCGGCACCACACAATGGGCCGAATAGCCTCCTTCTGTTCTGTAAGATTCATAGATTCTTTGATTACAAGACATTAAATATTGAAATGGAGAGAGAAGTNGGGGGGAGAGAGCAAAAGAGAGAGGTAGTTTTAAGCGCGATACCAATAAATCAGTTTCTGATTATATTTTTGGGTTAAACATAAATTATGGATGCCTCCCCTTTAGAAGTACAAAATAATTTACAGATTACTGTGGTTACTCAGAAACTTAATAGTGTTTGATAGCATCACGTTCCAACTCCGAAGATGCATTCTCTAAATATGAACATACACTAATCTGCGCTGATCAGTGAGACATTAAATAAAAACCCTGACGTCTTTTTACGTGTTTGCAGGGAGCAATAGAATTGTTTGCATTCGAACCTGAAGATTTGAGAAGCAGTGATAACCTGGATTTACCTGACTGACTGACGACAGATAATAGCGCCCGGATTTGTTTTAACATGTACGTATCATACTTGTGCGTCAAGTCGATGCGGAAATATATGACCAACGCTGACACTAGAATGACAATGTGACATCACAAACAGTGGCAGAGCTTTTCGTACCTAAACAAATGGTTTGAAATAGACAAATCCTACAAACAAACCGAGGCCAAGGACACCGTTAGGTGCCCGAGGAGCATAACCCAGTTTCATTTAGCACCTTCTCCAGAGGAGCTATTTATAATAGCACTCCTTGCATTTGATAAGAGCTTGAGATGTCTCAAAGCACTTCACAGAATATACTGCAAAGCGAATTGACTGCATATCTTGTGGGTGAAATACAGCAGCCAATTGCACGCAGCAGTGTCCCACACACAGTCATTGGTTGAGTGACCAAATTATTATTATTATATATTTTGGAAGGAATTATTACCCCTAGAAAGGCGATCCGCCAATCGACGAACAACCGACTTACTACTAGAAAACAGAGGCATGCGGAACAAGGAAACTTGCCTAAGGTTACGCCGTTCATACTGCACCACTTGACGCAATCTATTCTCCATCTATACCACGCCTGAGGGTTTAAAATACAAATAATCCCAACGAGCTCTCTCGTGATAAATCCTATTTTACTCGCATTAGTTTTCATTTTATGATTCCAAACTCCAATCAGAGTGAGAGAGACGCAGAGAGTCGTGCAAAGGACTCTCTCGTTGCTACGGTAACAATTCCAAGCAATCAGCGGGGCACAAAGTCCGCAGGGCCTCGTTTAACTGAAATCATTGCACTTTTTCTCACTCCTCTGCGGATGCCTGAGTTCCGAGGAGACAGCCAATTACCCCCAGCAACCAGCAGCCTGGACAGGCATGACGCAGCATAACAAACCACAGAACAGAACAGTCACTACACTCTACATACAATGCAATCCTCTGTCGCACTTGGGAGACATTTTAACGCAACGCGACGAGATACCAGGATTGTTATTAAGATTTGTACTTTGTAGAGGCCGCGGAGCTCATTCTGAAATCACTTGGTGAGATGAAGTCACTCTGAAGCAATCCTTGGGTTCACTGCGGCTCAAGACAACAAGAACAACAACTTGCACTTACGTAGCGCCCTCCACGCAGGGTAGTGTCTCAGTGGTGGGACCTGACTCCGAGCCGGTGGGGGGGTGGGGTGCGGGGGGGGGGGGGGGGGGAAGAGGTGGCTGTAGGCACGGTCGAAGAGGAAGGTTTTCAGGCGGGACTTGAAAAAGGGGAGAGAGGGGGCGAGGCCGAGGGTTTGAGGGAGAGTGTTCCAGGGTTTCGGGGCGTAGTGGCTGAAAGCACGTACAGTACCCCAATACTTACAGCCCGGGAGCGCCGAGCACATCCAACCTCAGGCACGTTCGTTTGCCAGAGGTGCGTCTGGTTAAACTCGCAGAGATGCCGGACGTCAGCCCCAGCAAACTGCGCGCTGTCCCCTTCCAAACCATTTACACGACAGTACCTCCAACCAACTACGCCACCCACTGTGCACGAGTTCAGTTACATTCTTCAAATGAATAATAATGCGATTTTAAAAATCGGTAAAAGACTACAAAACGAGCGTAATGCGCACACACGTGCATGTACCGCGCGCATCGATCGTGGAGTCCCGTGGCTTCACGGTGAGAGCGCTCGCCTCGCGAGGGGAACCGGGTTAGATTCCCGGGCGGAGCGAAACGTCGGGCAAGTTCCCCAACACACCGATTTATACAGCAATAGGTAGGAACCCGGTTGTTAGTCGATTGGCGGATTGCTTTTCCCCGGTGGGGGGTAACAGTCCATTCCCACAAAAAAATGCGGTCGCTCAATCCACGACTGTTCGTGGAGACGCCACTGTGCACAATCGGCTGCCGCCTTTCGCCCACAAAATACACAGTCACTACACTTTACAGTCTATTCTGTGAAGCGCCCCCCGGAGACGGGCGTGAGAAGGCGCGATATCAAACACAAGTACTAACATTTACATTACATTATTATTATTATTGATACAGTATTTGCACAAAACAGTTTGTGGAAATCAACCAAAACCCTAAAATTATGAAAACAACAAAAGATTAAATTGAAAAGCCGCTGAGAGGCAGAGCATCAAAACCCGAACACACGGCCTGAGAGGGGAGGGGGGAGAGGGGGAACGAGAGAGGGGGGAGAGGGGAGAGGGGGGGAGAGGGGGAGAGATGGGGGGGAGAGGGGGAGAGAGGGGAGAGAGGGGGGAGAGGGGAGAGAGAGGGGGGAGGGGGAGAGGGGAGAGGGGGAGAGGGGGGGAGAGAGGGGAGAGGGGGAGAGGGGGGGGAGAGGGGGGAGAGAGGGGGGGGGGGGAGAGGGAGAGGGGAGAGGGAGAGAGGGGGAGGGGAGAGAGAGAGGGGGAGAGAGGAGAGGGGGAGAGAGGGGGAGAGAGGGAGAGAGGGGGGGAGAGGGGGGGGAGAGGGGAGAGGGGGGGAGAGGGGGGAGGGGAGAGAGGGGGGAGAGAGGGGGGGGAGAGAGGGGGAGGGAGAGGGGGGAGGGGAGAGAGGGGAGGGGGGGGGGGAGGGGAGAGGGGGGGAGGGAGAGAGGGGAGAGGGGAGAGAGGGGGGAGAGGGGGGGAGAGAGGGGGGAGAGAGAGGGGGAGAGGGAGAGAGGGGGAGAGGGGAAGAGGGGGAGAGGGGGAGAGAGAGGGAGAGGGGGAGAGTGAGGGGGAGAGAGAGGGGAGAGGGGGAAAGGGGGAGAGAGGGCAGAGGGGGAGGGGGGGGGCAGCCCCGGGGCCTCTCTCTCTCTCTCTCTCTCTCTGGGCCTTCCTCCCCTCACCATCCGCGCGGCCTATTAACCGCTCCCCGCGACCGCGAGGCGCCGGGGCCCCGCCGAGGGGCTGTGGGAGCCGCTGTGGCCGGTGTCGGGGGGCGGGGGGGGCGGTACCTGCTCCTCGGCCGCTCCTCCGCCGCTGCGCCTTCACCGCGGCCTCACATCCACCGTGTGCGGGACCGCCAGCGGCAAACCCGGAGCCGGAGCCACCCCCGACCGGACCGGACCGGACCCGGAGCTGGAGTCCCCTCCGCCAAAACCCGGAGCCGGAGTCCCCTCCGCCAAAACCCGGAGCCGGAGTCCCCTCCGCCAAAACCCGGAGCCGGAGTCACCTCCGCAAAAACCCGGAGCTGGAGTCACCTCCGCCAAAACCCGGAGCTGGAGTCACCTCCGCAAAAACCCGGAGCTGGAGTCATCACAGCAAAAACCCGGAGCTGGTGTCACCTCCGCAAAAACCCGGAGCTGGTGTCACCTCCGCAAAAACCCGGAGCTGGAGGCATCACAGCAAAAACCCCGGAGCGGAATTCACCGCAACAAAACCCGGTACTGGAATAAGTCACTCGGACTGGACCTGGAGTCACCACAGCAAAGGGTCATTTCCTTGGAGCTGAATTGGCTCCAAGATGACAATGTTTGGCCACAGAATGTTCCAATCGAAACCAACGACAGTCCGGCTCCTGAGCCGGGTGTACCCGCAGTATCCCAGGACACTGCTGCTGACAGCCCAGCCAACCTCATCAACAGGACCTGGGAAGGCAGACCAACCAATAGGGTGGGCATTCTTCCCACTCAGCTCGTTAACCTGTAAGGTAAAGCCCTAACAAGTCGGGCAGTCCTAGCCGGACACGCAGCAGGAAACTTGCCACCAGCTATCAATGGCGAGCTGTGTGGTTAATAATAATAATAATAATAATCCTTGCATTTGATATAGCGCTTTTCACGTCGGGAGGACGTCCCAAAGCGCTTCACAGAACACACTGTAAAGTGAATTGACTGTATATTTGTGGGCGAACGCGGCAGCCAATTGCGCACAGCAATGTCCCACAAACAGTCGTAGATTGAAAATGACCAATTTATTATTGTTTGTGGTTTTGGAGGGATTATTATTAGGCTCTGTGTGGAGTAAGGAAACTTGCCCAAGGTTTCGCCCTCTGCCTGGAATTGAACTCAGGTCTCTCACTTGCAAAGCGAGTGCTCTAACCACTGAGCTACAGGACTCCACAAGGTTTTACTCCAACAACACCCCAAGACACAGGCTGAGATCCCCAAGCTTTGACTTTGGCCAACCTGCCCCTACTACCTACTGGAATTAGGTAACGAGGATTCGTCCCTTCAAAAAGAGAGCATGGAATCCAATAAATATCTCAGGAATCTCCATTTATAGGTGGGATGCATGGAATTCCCAATTTGGTTTGCATACTCTAAATCATGGTGATGGGATTCCATGTGTCCCACACACCCGTCTGACCCCCCCCCCCCCGCCCCCCCCCCAAAAAAAAATAACAGCTCAATTGCGAAAGAGGAATGGGAGAAAATGTCTGTTTAAAAGATGCCCACATTTATTATAAATATTTACAATATTAATGTTTACTTTAGCAGCAGGTTTGTTCAACTCCTTGAATTGATGATGAGCTCAAAGAGGTTCACTTTTTGTCTCAATGTGTCTAAATTGTGTTGTCACCCAGACAGTGAAGTAAGTGATAAAGTAAGGTAAGTCACCTCCTCGGCTGATGTTGTGTTGTTGAACGATGTTCTGCCAATCTTCCATGTCGGCTGTGAAACTGATTCACTGCCAAGACAGTGTTCATACTGCAAAGTGATTTAAAATCAGTAGGTGGAGCTAAGTGGTAAGTTTCGCAGAACTTCCGAAACCAGAGTAATCATATAATAATAATCCTCGCATTTGATACAGCGCCTCATCCCGTCTTCGAGGCGTCTCAAAGAGCTTCACAGAACATACTGTAAAGTGAATTGACTAATTGCGCACAGCAGCGTCCCACAAACAGTCGTGAATTGAAGTGACCAATTTATTATTTTGTTTTAAGGAATTATTAGCCCTGGAAAACGATCCGCCAATCAACTATCAACCAGGTACCTACTGACTGTAAACAGAAGCGTGTGGAGTAAGGAAACGTGCCCAACATTATGCTCTGTCGGGAATCGAACCCAGGTCTCTCGCTTGCGAGGCGAGTGGTCTAACCACTGAGCCGCAGGACTCCACAGAGTGGAGAGAAAAAGAAAGAGGGGAAATAAGTAAGTAGAGGAACGAGCAAGGGAGAGCAACAACACACTTTATAAAACACGAAAATGACCAAAATGTATCATTTATAATATAATTTTGAAAATTAATTCAAAATAATCTGAATAAACCATCCTCGGAGCCCCAGAGAGACACAGCCCACTCTGCCAATAACAACAACCTGCGCCCTTCACTCGGGCTAGCGCTCTGAAGGCTCCCAGAGGGCATGAGACTCAGGTTGGCAACAGCCAAGGTTTTGACACCCCGATGTGTGCACTGGGGTAACTGATGGAGTTTAACCAGCTAAAACTGAACAGCTTGCCTCTGGCAAGGTTTCTACTGAGAATGGATAAAGGTGAGGATCTTGACGTCATGAAAGTTATACCTACTGTGAAAAGTCATGACAAGCTGTATCAGAGAGGAGGAGTTCATTGTGATTGTGCCAAGATGCCATCCCGTACCTTGCGGGCAGTGGAGAAGCTAGTTTGTTGAGTGGATTAGTGACTGAGGCAATGCCAGCTTCCTGTGATACAATAATGGAATTGAGTTCAAACAGGTGTACAAAGCATTGGCTTCACGGCATCGAAAAATCTGCAGGACTTTATGGAGAGTTGCAATGTGTTTCTGACTTTTGTGGCTTGGCTGTGTATTACAGTGCCCTCTGCTGTATTATACCATTAGTTTCCTGAGTGAATTTGTAGAGGACAGGTTGCTTTTCTAGATACTTTTTAAAAAAATATTTACGTTACTTATTCCAGTCACTATGCATTACAGTAAATCCTGTGAAATGCTTTGAATTGAAAGGCAGGCACCAAGTTAAATGTAAGGCTTATATTATTATGATTCAAATCTTATCGACTTTGAAATTCTAGGCACAGGATTTAAAGTGAAGAGCTAAAAACTGCTGGGTCATTTTAGAAGGAGTTTTTACCCATTGTCTAACTCGCTTTTGCTATTGAGCACTTTTCTGACATTAATAGATGCATTGTTTAAATAATTGAAAGTCTCATTTCTACTCCTATCGGTGTGGAATCCACCAAACTGCAAGATCAGCAAGTCAAGGAACAGTTTCAGAATAAGATTCCAGCTAAATGATTGTTGCTAATAACTGGAATGAGCAATTATAATGACAACAAATGATTGCAGATGTGTCGGAGTTAAGCTGCTAGAATACTGAGCTGAAACCAACCACAGAACCTCAGCCCAATGAGGACGTCGTCTGCCAGTTTCCTGATTCCAAAGGTTTACCTGTTGAAAAACAAATTGGCTGCAGCACGCGTGCCTGTGTTGCGTTGGTCTGTGTGTCTGGTATGTTTGTGTGTATGTGCATGTGTTGTGTGTGTGGTATGTTTGTGTGCATGTGTGTGTGTGGTATGTGTGTGTGTTGTGTGTGTGTGTGTGTGTGCATGTGTTGTGAGGGTGTTTCTCATGTATTTCTCAACTTCAAGACCCTCACACTCATCTACAAATCCCTCACATGCTGACAGCTCCCTACCCCTTTGACCTGCTGTGCGCAATTGGCCGCCCCCAATTTCAAAGAATTTCAAAGTCAATAAGATTTCAATGACAATAATAATCATAATTTTGCCCATAAAATACAGTCAATTCATTTTACAGTATAACCTGTGAAGCGTTTTGAGACGTCTCAAAGACGTGAGCCTGTTCTACCTTTCTATTAGATCATGGCTGATCTGTACCTCAACTCCAAATACCCGCCCTTGCCCCATATTGCCCCACCCTCTGGAACTCCATCCCGCAGTCCCTCCATCTCGCAACCTTCAAGACCCACCTCAAGACCCTCTTCTTCAACCGTGCTTTTGATTTCCCTGCTTCCCCCCCTGCCCTCCACCCTCCCTCACCCTCAGCTTGGGTCCATTACTCTGTTTGTCCAGCACCTTGGGACGTCCTCCCGACATGAAAGGCGCTATACAAATGTAATTTTGTTGTTGTTTTTGATACCCTTACCTAACAAATATCTATCTGGAACTAAGAGTCGCAAGCACAGTGGCTAATGAAAATGATAATAATAATAATCCTTGCATTTGATATAGCGCTTTTCACGTCGGGAGGACGTCCCAAAGCGCTTCACAGAATAGACTGTAAAGATAGGTTACAGGAGGATTTGTACACACTTGGGAATTGGGCAGATCGGTGGCAAATGAAATTCAATGTGGAGAAATATAAAGTACTTCACATGGGAACAAAAAAATCCTGGAAGGGAATATTATTTGAATGGAAGGAAAATAATATGTATAGAAAATGAAAAGGACCTGGGGGTCTTGATTGACAATAAATTTAAGCTCTCCCAACAATGCTCTGTGGCAGTGAGTTAAAGCAGATGTTGGGATGTATCAAAAGATCAATAGCAAGCCAAAATAGTGGGGTAATTCTGCTGCTGTATAAGTCATTGGTGAGACCATACTTTAGAGTACTGTGTACAGTTCTGGTCACCGCAGTACAAAAAGGATATTGGAAAAATCGAGAAGATACAGAGGAGGGAAACGAAAATGATTGAGGGAATCGAAGGACTGGACTATGAGGAGCGACTAAATAAATTGGGCATGTTCACGCTGGAAAAGAGAAGATTGAGAGGTGACATGATTGCTCTCTTTTCTAAAGGGGCAAAACAATATAGATCATGCCAGGCTGTTTTAACTTGTCCAGAATAGTAAAACCAGAGGACACGGCCTGCGATTGAAAGGGGTAAATTCAGAACAAATCTACACAAACACTATTTTCAACTGTCGGGTGTGTCGGTAACTCGAGGACACTGATTTAAGAGTTTTTAGAAGGAACAGAGGGGAGATGAGGAGAAATTTTGTTTACACAGCGAGCTGTTCGGATCTGGAACGCATTGCCTGAAAGGGTGGTGGAAGCCGATTCAATAACAGCTTTTAAGAGAGAAGTAGATAATTATTTAGGGAGTTTGCAGTGCTATGGGGAATCTCTGGGGAG